GAACAAAGAATGTATAACGTAGTAGTCTGTATGTTGTAGATCTTGACCCTGGGCTCCACTAAATAGTTCTGTTCCCCGAGATTGATTTAAAATGGAGGCGAACTACATCATATGTCGTATGCGATGTAGGGCTTCGGAATACTACCCACCTCGGCACTGCGGCATACATCATCGCTCTAGTGCCGAGCATTATTATGTTGTACTGAATTGTTTACTCCGTCCGCACAGATTGCCCGATATGCGGAGAACGCGGATGTGATGCACATACATGGAGCTTTGCCACTATCCCAGCCCAGCTGGAACGTGTTCCACGTCCCAGTTCGCAAGATAGTATCCAGCATTCTAGAAGGCAAATACTGACATCTTCCACCGACCCACCATGTGCATTCTTCACCATGCAGGAGAATACTTTTCCAGCTGCCAAGCCGTCTCAAACCATCATGCTGGTGACCATCCGCGAATTACAGGAATCAAACATACATGTACCTACTGCATGGTACCTATGCATCTTCTGAAAGAACTGTACTAGTACACATTATAGCAGCCCAAACCCAAATCTGCATGGGCTCGATCAACCACGCAAAGAAACGCGCTAAGAAGCAAGGAAGCATTCCCCCTTACCATCCCCCTCCAGCCGCCTACCCGATAAACACCGACCCCTCAATAGACCATACAACATACATGCCTCGAGGGGGAAAAAGAGAATGATGTACGGCGCTTACGAAAGAACAGGCCAGGATGCATCAATTCGATAGATCCGAACGCTCCCGCCGATCCACCATTTGCCCTCTCAGCTAACCATTACAACGCCCCGTTCCTCCCCGGGTCTAGTGGAGATGTGATTTGTGATTTCATATACATCACAGCCCCGGATGAGCGGAAGACCAATTGAAAGCGGCCAGCAAGCGATCCAACCGTTTTGGAAAAAAAGGCGATATCAGATCGATACTAACGGCTTATGCACGCCAGGTTTTCTTTTCACAATAAAACAGTGCACAAGCTTCCTGGAATGGATTGCATGGGCCTGCAGAGGTTGTCATGTACGAGGCCCGATTCGGTAGTCTTTCGTCACATTTGAATGAGGGAAGACGGTGTGGATACGCCCTGCAATCGGGATCACCAGATGGTGGGCGAGGTGTGTGCGTTGGTATTCTTTTGTAGGCTAAGGCACCGAGGTCTTTTCTTTTCGATCACCAATCGTGTTGTATAGGGGGAGTAATCGGTGTTCCTTGTTCCTGGCTGTCCTGATTTGGTCATAGACGTCTTGTCGCAAGTCCCCCTTGCTTGTTTTCTAGGTTGTTTGGTCGCGCCTAGGCCTCAAGGGTACATGGCTTAATTCTCCTTTTTGTTATTTTGCTTTTTCTCGCTTGCTTTTTTTAGGAGTATAGGTTTGGGATGCTTGTTTTTAGGTAGTTGGTTTATGCTTTTAGCTGAGAGGTTGTTTAATACTATTTCCCCCTATCTGAACGAACGGTACTTTATTACTTTGGTGTGGCTTGAATTGAGATGATAATGGAGGACCATTGGGAGAATTGTCAATATATTCCATATGCTTGGATATATGTAAATATGCAAATATGCACATTGGAGATCAAATAGTATACATGTCGATATTGTACAGTCAAAGCACATCCAGCGCCGAGTCACTCCCGCTATGCCAATATATCAAAGAAAAGAGAGTCTAGAGTCCATCACGCCTAGATATTCAAGAATCAAGGCGCCGAACGGAGTAGGTCAGCAACAGCAGGGTCTTCTCCATCAATCTCCTTAGAGAACCCAGTGCCCTTCCGCACATGCATCAGCAACCGCAAAGCACCAACAGGCGTCACGCCCTCGATGCGCTTCGCCATGCCAACACTGACAGGCCGCACACGCTGAAGGACCTGTCGCTCCTCATTACTGATTCCGTGAACCATATTATAATCTAGATCCGCAGGCAGCAGCAAGTTCTCATCCTGCTGGAACCGCTCAGCCATCTTCTCCTGTCGCTTCAGGTACGGCGCATAGCGGCCTTCGATGGCGACGCGGGTGAGGATATCCGGTGCAAACGAGGACGGGTTGTATGTGGTCCCCGTAGGAGACTCGATGATAGGAATGAGGGTGTTGATGTCGGCACCGTCCAGACATAAGATATCGAGGGCTGAGCGGATCGAGGTATCAGAACGCACCTTGAAGCCCTTGCGAGACCAGGCAGATGACGAGAGCTTCGTGTTGCTAAGGAGAGTCTGCAGCTCTAGGATCTGCGCTTCGGTATCAGAGAAGTGGTTCCAACGCTTGTCGGAGACGACGCCGGCATCGCGGGCCATGCGAGTCAGACGCAGGTCGGCGTTGTCGGAGCGGGTGGAGATGCGGTACTCGCTTCGCGTCGTGAACATGCGGTAGGGCTCTGAGACGCCCTTGGTGATGAGGTCGTCGATCATAATTCCGATGAAGCCGTCGGACCTGGCCAGGGTGAGTGGTGATCGGTTCTGTGACTCGAGGCCGGCGTTCGTGCCTGCGATGATGCCCTGTCCGGTTGCTTCTTCGTAGCCTGTTGTGCCGTTAATTTGACCGGCGAGGTAGAGACCGCTGATCAGCTTTGTCTCGAGGGTTGGTCGCAGGTTGCGCGGGTCTATGTAGTCGTATTCAACGCCGTAGCCAGGCTGGAGCATGGTGACGTTCTCGAGACCGCGGATTACTCGCAACATGGCGTATTGGGCGTCTGCAGGCACGGTCATCGAGATACCGTTGGGGTAGATGACGTCGTTTGGTGCGAAGCCTTCTGGCTCGAGCCAGATCTGGTGCTGGGTCTTGTCCTTGAATCGGATGATCTTTGACTCCAGTGAGGGACAGTATCGTGGCCCGCGCACAGTCTCGCGGATATGGATAGATTTATCCAGATTGGCGCGGATGATTTCATGGGCAGCTTCGTTTGTATGGGTCATCCAGCAGGTAAGCTGGCCTTCGTCGCCCACTGCAACAGTCTTGTTGAGATAGGAGAAAGGGTGAGGCGGCGAGTCGCCCTTTTGCACTTCGAGAGCGCTGAAATCAATAGTCTTCCTATCCAATCGAGGTGGTGTACCGGTCTTCAATCGTCCCAGTTGGAAGCCAGCTTCTCGGAGGGACTTGCTGAGACCATACGTGGGGGCCTCGCCCATGCGTCCCGAAGGGAATACATCCATTCCGATATGAATCTCACCACCCAGGAAAGTTCCCGTCGTGATAACCACACGACCAGTAGGAATAACCTCCCCGGATTCCAACCGCACGCCAACAATTTTGCCTTGTGCACCAGGTGTGTTCTCAATGCCTTCCGTGGAGAGCACAATGTCAGCCACCTTGCCCTCCACAATGCTCAGATTTTCCGTGCCGGCCAGCTCCTCGGACATATACCGTTTATAGAGATCACGATCAATTTGCGCACGTGGTCCCCAAACAGCCGGCCCCTTGGAACGGTTCAAGACTCGAAACATGACACCAGCCTTATCGATGATTCGACCCGCAACACCGTCCATTGCATCCACCTCACGAATCATCGTTCCCTTTCCAATGCCGCCGAAACTAGGATTGCACGAACAAACACCGATATTCTCCAACGAGGGTGTGACCAACGCAGTGCGCGCGCCAGAACGAGCAGCAGCAGCGCATGCCTCAGATCCAGCATGGCCTCCGCCAATAACAATAACGTCGTATGGCCTATCAACGAATCAATTAGCATACCTCTCCATACTAACAAAGGGGAGAGTAACGAACCGTGTATTGTCTGTAACAGTCGCGAAACCACGACTCCGACCCATAAATGAGCGGAGCCCGCGGCTCTGACGCATCAGTGCCACCGACCGTGCTCGAAAAGCCATAGCGGGGTGTAATGCAAATATTAACCAAAGATAGACAGGTACCAGCCTGAAGATCAAATCAAATCGATAAGGAAAATTGTATTTTATCACGTGATTATTATTATAGCCGTTAACCCCGAGGGCGGTCACACCCTGACATAATCGCTTGCGCCATCGTCCAATTGCGGGGCTGCTGATGTTAAGGTTGTACAAGCTGATCGCCTTTTTTTCTACGACTGACCCCTCTCTACATCTTTGAATCCACCAGCTCAACGAGCAAGACAATACTTCAAAATGAAGGCATACTGGTACGACAACATTGAGGTAAACACACACCAATTGGCTGTACCCAACTTTCCAACCATTTCCAGGTACAGCCCACCTTAGACTAAACAAACGCTGATGTCATTTGTTTACAGGGCGACCAGCGTGAGCCACATGACTCCGGCCGTGCCGTGTCAGAAGAGAAGCTCGCCTCGCTAGGCGTGCTATACAAGCACTGTCCGACAATCGACGCAGTGGACACCATCGCAGCGGAGCGTGGATACCGTAACCGTGACGAGGTCTGCGTGTCTCCTGCGACGATGGGCGCCGTGTATGAGGAGAAGGTTAAGTCGTTCTTCTCGGAGCATTTGCACGAGGATGAGGAGATTCGGTATATTCTCGACGGGGAGGGGTACTTTGATGTTCGCGGACAGGAAGACGAGTGGATTCGTATCTGTCTTGTTAAGGAGGATATGATTATTCTTCCTGCGGGAATTTATCATCGGTTTACTACCAATGAGCAGAACGTATGTTTTCTTATTATTGTGGCTGTGGATATGGGACTGACTTTGTTTGTAGTATGTTAAGGCCATGCGTCTTTTCCAAGACGAGCCTAAGTGGACGCCGCTCAACCGTGGTGCGGATGTGGATGTTAACCCGCACCGGAAGACTTATCTGGACAAGGTCATCAGCCCTACCGCGGCTGTTTAAGATGGACCACTTTGATATTGAGATGCGTTATGACTGAATTCTTTGCACATATACTACTGAACGATGGAAATCGGAATTTCTTGAGATTGTCTTATATCACTTTCGTTGCATGGTGCTTTTAAATGTACACGGGGACAGCAACCCCACAGTAAATCAATCGAAACAATACCTGAGTGAGTAGGAATGGTCGAAGGACACTTTATACTTATATCAGTTGTCTGGAATGCCAGGCGTTCCCACCGGCGTCCCCGCCGGCATCGCACCAGGCATATCAAAATGTTCACTCGTAGCACCGGCGCTCTCTTGCCTTGTCATACTCGAGCTGCGCAAGCCACCCATATCAACGTTGAAACTACTTGTGCGCGAGCCAGCGCGAAGCCCTGGCCGCGCTTCCAGGCCCCCACGGAACCGCAGCCCCTCTGGTTCCCGAAGATGCTCGTTGGAGAACATAGGCGGCCCGGATGCCTCAGTAGAGCCCGCACTGCGCGGTGGCGCGGTGGACCCAGCATCCGAGTCCTCGCCGGGCCGGACGCCTGTTCTGCCCATGCGCGGCCACAGGTCTGGAAGTCCGACGACTTGCACTCGAGGCTCGACGACACGCTCTTCGAACCACGCGTGGACTCGCGCTTCGACAAGCTGGGCTATCTTTGGTACATCCTGCAGTCGGCTGCGGGATCCGATGAGTGAGCGCACGGAGAGGTCTAGGCGGTAATCTGGGAGGAAGGAGAATGCGACGTTGCTTTTCCGGCTGCTTTTTGGTGGGAGTTGATCTTGCGAGGTTGTGTGCTCTCCGTGATCAGAGGATCGATTACCTGCGTTGTACCCTGGGTCTGATGTGGGAGGCGCCGGTGACCCGGCAGGCGTTTGAAGTGGTTCTGGCGGTTCGGTCGATGCTGGGATCAAGGATATGCAAAGTGTTCCTGAAAATCTCACGACCGAGACTGATAGCGCTACTGGCAGGATGGCAGAGCGTGGTTTAGGGTAGTTCAGAACCATGGATGTCTCGACGGCAATAGAAAGATTGTCATCGCTGAGGTCGACATCCAGTAGCGCCTGTAGCCGTCCACCGTCCGACATGGGGTCGTCAACGGCGATGATGCGGCAGTTGCTAAAAATTGGAAACTCTTCACCTAGTGAGATATCGGTGACGTTGATCTTGTCTATGAACGATGGTTTCTTCTCCGGGTTGTTCATGGCTGCCGTTAGGGAGCTGAGGATTGATGAAGTGGGCGAGTCCTTGAGGGAATAGGCCGTCTCCCTGTATTGAGCAATTGTCTGTGCAATAAGCACATTGAACCAGTCCAGCGACTCGGGCTGATGCGACGAGTGATGCATGCGGTGTCGGCCATGTTTGCTAGTAGGGTTGGTAGGAATGGCACTGTAGTAGGTTTTGCGGAGGATGGAGCGGGTGTTTGTAGAGGTAGAAGGTACGGGACGAAGAACATTGGACGTCGAGGGTTTTTCTCGTAATGATTTCTGGCTATCTTGAGGGGGGTTATAGACGGAGCTGTAGCGGCGGTGTGTTGTGCGGTTTGACATGCCCCGGGACGGAGGGGGAGGCGCTTCACCAAAAATGAAAAACTTGATGAAAGCGCCTATCAGGAGTACTACTGAGAGCTGGCCGAGAAGAAACCCTTGGGTAAAGGACAAGCTAAGAGGGTGTTAGCAAGCTCCCATAGTCCACTTCACGGGCAGAGAGCGTACGAAGATTGAGGCGCGAATGGCGCGGGCTCATCTACATTATTATCAGCACACCAATTCCAAGCCCTGGAGGCACCACCACTCACGTTGTTGGAGCGCCATTGTCAGCGGCTGTTGACAATACTTATTCACGGTGCCATCCCCAGATGGCGAAGAAGTTCGGATCTGGCTTGGCTGAACCGCATCTCTTATCGTTGATATGCCACCCGCGACCGCCTACTCCTAAAATTTTAAGGAAATGCCCTTAATCAGTTCAGGCCTAGCGTCATCAGCATCTATAAAATATGATCTACAACATGAATGTCTACCGAATAATGCCTGACACTCAAATTCAATCTTTTCTCTTTTCTGATTTAGTACTTGTATCTTGAATCTTTGTAATTTTAGAGTTAAATTGAGTACACCATTGAGATCATCCCTTTGTTGAGGATAATCCCCAAGGTACCGGATAAACAGATACCCCGGCAAAAGACCATAACTAGTTAGTTATAGTGTAACATTTATAGATGTCACTCTCTTCCGTACCTACACTCAATGACACTTACATCCTGTTATATACTAGAATACACCCACAGTTGTCTATTACCTCTTCATCTACATATGGCAACACCCCCTGAGCATCTTGATCCACTCGCTGATCATCCTCTGAGCGCCCTGGTTTGCGAACTAGGACGAATTGAGCGTACCGATGAGCGGCCTGAATACGCTATATCAATAACCTTTAGAGTTCAATGTGACATCCGTATAATTGTGGGTGATCTATAATTCTACTGACATATCGTCGATTCTGGCTCAACCTTCACATCACGATGCGTAAACGCATTGGCAATTATATCCTCTTAGGCACCCCCACCTCTGCCAGGGACTCCGTCAAACCTAACCTGACCCAATTATCAATCTCCTTCGTCGTAGCCACAGCGATCACCCCCAGCATGCCCAGCGAATTCACCCCAGCCTCCTTATTAATCCCGCCTCGTCTTCTCGGCAACACGATCATCCATCTCTTGGTAAGGATCATATTATGCGGACAGACTGCTCCAGGCGGCGTACTCGCCGTGTGGTCCCCGCCCACCTTCGTAGCCTCCTTCAGCAGGTCTTTGTAGACGCCGAACAACACAGCGGGTGTCACCTCGCCCTCAAAGCGCCGATAGAACCACTTAAACGGAACCTTGGTTTCGGGCTCCTCGGATGAATCCAGAAAGGCTGCAAAACTGTTTGCCGGTAAGGGCATCAACTGCATATGCTTATGCAGCCGACTACATCCGCCATTCTGGCCGCAGTTGAAAAATGCAACGTAGTCTCTCTCCATGGAGATCAAGATCCGCCACATGCTGTCTAGATCGGCTTCCTCAAGCGCTTCATACTGTCGTTTGTATCCATCAGACGTGAGAAGCATGAGGTGGGGCCGCGCAAAGCAGAACTTGTTCACGATCAAAAAGTGGCTATCTAGCGTGCCGAGTTCGAAACCGGTGGTGCTGATGTCGCTGCCGTCTCGCTCTTCGGGTCTTCGACTATTGACCTCGGGCTGGGACTGCGGGGTGGTTAGGGTGGGCTTTTTGGCGAGAGCAGAAGTTAGAACAAATTGGAACTTGGTAATTTTGTTAGTGGATGTTTGATTTAGATTACAAATTGGCAAGTGATACTTTGAGATTCTCATCAATGTGCTCAATGATTCGTTGTTTCTCATCGTATAGGACGAGGCCAGATTGGACGAGATTGTCGAACTTGGAGAGGACGAGGGATTCTTCCATTTTGGTGATTTTATTGCTGGATTATGTTAGACGTAGGTCTATGGTCTATATATATAGTTGGAGGTGGGGTAAAAATCCCAGCCCCCAGGGGGGATTTCAGGTTATTTATAATTCAATACCGGACAACACTCACACTCTTCTTATCCCCAAATCATCTCTGATCTCACTTCCGGGAGAATGTTACTAGTAGAATAGTACTAGTTTCAATCATTGCAAATTGGTATAATGGAATATATATGAAAGTGACTATCATTATCTACGATCAGTAGGCCCTTCCGCCATTCGTTATTCTCTCGGACACACGGATAGGGAAATACAAAACACTACGCATATCTTTCATGTTGGTTATGCGTACATTTCCACATACGAGTTGAAACTGATTATCGCTAGCCTGAATATATATGGGTGTATAGTGCTCTTCGTCACGTCACTTCCAGTGGTAGCCCAAATTTCCATCAAGACTTCTAGATTGGTCTTGCCATGTGGGATTCGCAGTTGCATATTGGGCAGAATGATGATGGAGAGTACGACCATATACGGATGAATGCTAGAAAGAACACTGCCAATTCAGGAAGTTATTCTAGACACGGCAGTAGGCTTTAACAAAATACCCTGCCACACCATGCCGGCCAGGCAAAGGGTATGTCACTCCGCTCCATGCAAGCCACACTAGTATAGTACAATGCTGTTGGTACACCGTAGTGTGTAGATATCAGCCTACTAAGAAGAGTTGGCGTGAACCCCTGGTACGAAGACCTTGGCATGGTGATCGTACCTGGGTTGGGTGCTTGGCTGATATTAAAACTTGTATCGAAACATAGAAAATCCTCGCGGACTCCGACGGCAATGGCTTTCCTGACTCGCCATGCGGGTGGGCGTAAGTCATAGAACTACATGGATAAGTTCATCAAGTTGAACTCCCCTGTCGGCTCGGGCGAGAAGTGAATCTCCGGTATGTGTATTATTCAGTGAGTGCAATAAAACTCCTTATGTGCATTTGTGAGAGACACAATGTTCATCCGGAGCCGTCTTGACAGGGCAAAGATCTAGAATTGAATGGTTTCTGAATATAGAATCCGTGCGCATGTTTTGTTTCTCCTCTTAGACAACTATACATATTGCAGTACGTTGATTTGTAATCAGCTGATACGTGGACCCGTCCGTCGAGCATTCTCGAGACGATGGATATGGCGAATGGGGAAAGAAGTGGTGTTGTGGGCGTGTAATGGGTGTAATGGGTGGGCGATAGCCACCCCGAGAGGAAAAGCTACTATCTACAGATTTTGAGGTCTGGTTCTACATCAACTCGACAATCAAATGGAAGTTCTCTGTTCTTTCCTGTGCCCTATACTAATGCTTATAAACGTGCTAATCCATTCTGGGTAGTTATGATTAACTAGTTAGTTGATAGTCCACCCATGTGTATTAGTCATTCCCCACATATCCACTGATCTCCCCAGGTGGAGTTAATTAGATATCACGGCTGTCGTGTGAGACGCAGTTACATCACATCTCTCATTCTCAAGCGACTTGACCAAAACCTCAGCGAGTTTGTCTCAACGTCTGATTTCCAACAGATTGACAAAGTCAAGTTTTTCGAGTCTCTCAAGTCGGCGATGGAGCGCCTACACACCCTGGGGCTAGCTCGTAACGATATCAACCTGGATAATATTATGGTGAAGAATGAATCACCTGGGTTGATTGACTTTGATTTCTGTCGGCCTTTCAGAAAGCGCTTGCAGTCTTTGGGCACAGAGAGGTGGTATGAAAAGGTGTTTTATACTGCTGAGAAGGAACATGACATATACGTACTCTCTCGGAAAAATACAGGAGTAGTTTCGGACTACTAGGTGATGTTGGAGTAATACACATATTCTTTATTTGGTGTTCATATATTTTCATCTTGACTATGTATGATATTAACATGGGATAAAAAGCCATGCCCGAAGCTTTTACTATCAAAAATTGTGTAGTAACTCTTTAACATTGTACAAGGTTCTCCTGCAATGTAGTTCTAGATGTCCTCCTTAGAGGTCTTTTGGATTAGTGCTATACTCTTATAGCTACTGGCGAATGCGTTGGCCGAGTCTATTTTTATAGCTCGCCCCTTGACTTGGGCAAATTAATGTTCTCGAATTATTGTGGTCGTTTTAAGGTTGAAAGCCAGACGCCAATATCCATAGTAGGATTGGAGGTATATATCCACATATAGATCTACCTGTAACCTTGGAACCCGAATCCCACGGCATACCTAAAATATAAGTTAGTATTGCTAGCGTGAGCCCATGTATGGGTGGTATGTGCACACCCGCAAGGTTAACGGGCACAGCTCCAGTCTGCCCCAGAAGCGAGCTAGGTGTGGTTGGTTCATCTGCATATACTATCAAATACAAAGACTGAGATTTGTAGGGTTAGAACATTCCCAGTTATTTTGCCAATGTCACAATAGGAAAGCCACCGCGGAAGGTCGAAGTTCAATTCAATATAATGAGCACTTACCTCGTGGCTACTACATTCGACTCGTCGTATTGCCGAAATTTTACCAGTCTGCCTAGGATCGAGATCTTTCGATATCGATGCCTCCTCAATATACGAGGAGCTCTGCCACAACTTCAACGCCTCATATACTACCCAGATTGGCTTTTAGAGAGATAACGTCGCTGATATAGTGGCAATCAATGGAGCCTTGATAAACTGCGGATGTATCAGTCAACTTTGGGCCAACTTTGGGGGACATCCTTAGGATGTGCCGAAGATACCCTGAGCTCTCTCTATATATGCTCTGCAATACTTAGTAACGAGGCGCTCAAATCAGCTATATACAATATGTGGATGCAAGATCCTCCTGGGGTCGGATGCACCATCCTCTTGGGCGCTGTTAATACGGCTAAGTACATCGGGCAACTACATATGATGACCGTCCCCGCCCTCGATGGAGTGCGTTGCCTTCCCTTGTTCCTGGATATAGCGATTTTAGTTCTAACTTTCTCTAGTGGCTCTACTAGACATACAGCCGGGCTATCTCTATCTCCAGCTCTAGACGCTAGGGAGCCAGTCACGTACCTCCCAATTCCCATTATTAACCAAATATATAAAGCTATGGGAGCCTCGTATGACATACTAGACCCAAACTCAGGTTATAAATTGCGTCGCAAAACAGAAATATTACGATTTGATATTCTATGATAACAACAAATTTCAACTCGGGTGAAGACAATTCCATGAAGATCGACAACGCAGTATCTGGGCTATTTCAGTGTTTATCACTAAATCTGTCCCAATCACAACTGTAATAATCAGCCTTTATATTAAAATATTTGTAGCCCACTTTCACTTCTAGTAGGTCGTCTGTTACATCTACTGCCCAGTAAGCCACTTCCACTAGCAGGGGCGCGGCGGTTGGTCCGACTAGCACCCCATTACGGGGTTGATTAGAGCATGAGTCTCGCTTACGCATAATATAGTACAAGAATAATTTCCTTCGAAAGTCCTTGTGAAACAAAAATAAAAGAAAAGTTCTATATTGGTAGGAGTTATATAGATCGTGCAAACAGAGCAAACAAAGCTATAGATTATTGTTCTCCACTCCCAAGCAAGGTTGAAGGACACGGAATCCTTAAAATAGTCGCCACCTATTGACTCATAGCATTGGAGCCTAATCACCTGAAAACGCTAGTCACATTGTGCTTACCACTAACAACAACCTCAGAACAACCCTTAACGAATATTGCTCCAGGCACTACAGACCATACATAGACTACAACCCAGAGAGAGAGCTGTCTAGCTCTCAACGAACCAACCATGCACAGTCTCACCAACCTGGCACTCACAGCCTTACTCCTCATCTCACCAGCAACATGCGTCTCAAACCCCAAACCACCCGGCAAAGACGCTATCCTACTATCAAATGTGCAAACCCTAACACTCCGCGCGCACCGCATGACAAGCTCACGCCGCATCTCACCAATCCCCCAACTCAGCTGCGCAGGCCCATCAAAACAAATATGCAACCTCTACCAACCAGAAGTAATGCGCTGCACAAACCAAGGCTATGACTACGACGCCGAAGACGTGCAGTGGACCTGCACCGCAGACATGCCGGCGGAGTTCAAGCTCGGCGCAACAGATGTTATCTGCGAGGGGTACCGGAATGCCGATGATAAGTGGGTGCTGAAAGGGAGTTGTGGGGTTGAGTACCGGCTTCTTTTGACCGAGGCTGGGGAGAAGAGGTTTGGGAAGAAAGGCGGGGACACGGAGTGGGATTGGGCTAGGACGGGCCGGTCCGGGACTGGGGTTCAGAAGATGATGGCGGTGCTTGGGGATTTGATCTTCTTTGGGTTCATCTCTGCTGTTTTCGTTATGATCTTCTGGCCTATGCTGGCGCAATGTTTCGGGTGGGGGAATCGGCGAGCCAGGCGTCCGGGCTCGGCCCCAGGGTGGGGTGGGTTCTGGGGAGGAGGTGGTGGTGGAGGTGGAGGTGGTGGAGATGATCCTCCACCTCCATACAGCAGTTTTGATCCCTTTAAATCTACTGGTCGGCAGCAGGGTTGGACGCCAGGTTTCTGGGCTGGTGCGCTAGGCGGTGGTGCCGCTGGTTACCAGATGGGGAGACGTTCTGGTAATGCATCGCGCGGCGGAATGCCAATGGGCAGGTCTGGTGGATATGACCCAGGTGAAGGCAGCTCGCGTTCGTCGCCACAGTTTTCATCTACGACTGCTAGTACTGGGTTCGGGTCGACTAGGCGTAGGTGATCTTATGAACGTGTCATTTACGCTTGTCGTCATTGGCTACCGACTTGAGGGGAAAGAGACATCAAAAGAGCCAAAAAAAAGGTCTTTGAGAAGGAAGCCACATATCTTTAAATGGCCTTAACTTCTTGTGGCCATTATGAAACTGGTACATATACAATGAGAACGAAGTAACAAATCAATTAGCAAATCAAAGGCTTGAAACTCCTAGCTTGATATCTTGTAATCCTACACCCAGAACGCCGTAATTTATAATCTTTCGCTTCATTAGATGTCCATTAGAATCCCCAACCTAAGCCGTGGGAAAGTCATCAATCGATCCCAAAACCTCCTCGGTTCCGCCTCCCTGGTTCTTCAATCCCACCTTCTTGCGAGACTTCTTGACAACCGTCTTGGCATCATTGGCATCCTTGGAATCCCCAGTTGGGTTGCGCAGCATGTCCTCTTGCATCTCTTTCTCCTTGGCGTGTTGGTCCTCAATCCGCTTCTTTTCATCGTCGAGTTCTTGCTGAACAACCTTGGGATCATCGTAGACAGTGTTCGTCATCTCTGAGTAGGTTGCAATGTCGATAGTCTCAGATGGGCCCATCAAGGTGTCCTTGATTCGTTGCGGATCACGGCGCTCTTCATTGTTGAACTTCAACTTGATCTGACGACGAGACCGGCCTGGGAACATTTTGCTGATAACCATGAAATCGGTGCCGAACATGCGGAGCCCGCGATAGAACAGATCCGTCATCTCTTCATCCCATGCTTCAGTCTTTGTACGCTTGCCGTATGATGCCTGATTGATCTTTCGGGTGAAAGAGCTTTCCACCACGTCTTCGAGGTCGCCGGCGGCTCGAGCGGCATCCGCGTGACGATCCACCTGCAATGACGTATTATCCAGCACGATCTCACCATTAACGATTCGCATAATAGGGCCATTTTGAGGTTTCCAATCGACCGGTTGTTCGGTTTTCTCCTGTTCGGCCTCAGGCTGCTTGACGGGTGTTCCTGGCCCAGGGGTTCCGCCCTGCTTCTTCCGTTCTTCTTCAGCCTTATCAATCTTGCGCAGTTCTGTCTCACGCTTGGACTTCTTTCCAGTTCTGAGATCTTTGCAAAGCTCTGACATTTTCACAACATTCGGCAATATTTCCACTGTCTCTGCGCCTTCCGGAGTGGGTTCGCGCTTCTTGCGGGTGCGTTTAGGCTTCTCGCTACCCTCAACATCCGAGGTACCAGCCTTCGAGTACTTTCGTTTCTTTGGCTTTGTTGGATCTGGAGTCGAAAGGTTGGATCCACCGGGCGTTGCGCTTGCATCTTCGATTGTAGGCACGATTGACTGGGAACCTCGACGGCTTGCCGCTGTGGATACAGACTTCTTCCGAGCTGGGGCCGCAACAGATGTAGTTGATGAGGTTCGAGCACGTTTTGCTGGTCGACCCTCGATTGGGGTAGTTTGTTCGGTTTCAGGTTGAGATTGGGGTAGAGCTTCGGTTGAACCGACGAGGTTTTCTGCGGCCCGCGCTGTTTCAATCCTGGCGTATTCTAAAAGAGCCTTTTCCGGTCCATGTTCCTCGGAGGATGTAGGCTGAGCCTCACTAGTCGGAACATTGGCGGGAGACGGGGTAGGTTGAGTGGAAGGAGGGGTAGGCGGGACAGTTAAGACGGATGTGGGTTGTGAGATAGAGGTAGAGGCATCGCGTTGCTGCGGGAGAGGAACCGCAGCCGGCTTTGGGATAGGAGTTGGCTTTGAAATAGCAATCGGCTTGTGGATCGGAGTTGGCTTCGAGATGGCAGTTGGCTTGGAGATTGGAGTGAGCTTTGAGATGACAGTCGGCTTGGGAATCGGAGTCGGCTTGGCGATGGGTGTCGCGGTAGGTGTGACGATCTGTGTAGCGATGGAATTGGCGACAGTGCTGACATGAGTAGCAATCGGGGGAGCAGCTGCAGTATCCAAAGTAATGGGTGTTTGTTCCGTGGTAGGCGTAGCAACTGACGCAGGTGAGTCCTCTGTGACTGCGCGTAGTTCCGGCTCGACAGCCACAGAAGGCGTCAAATCAGAATCAGCTACATCTTTCGCTTTGTCTTCCTGAACAGGCTCGGCTGGTGATTGTTGAACAACACTAGGTCGTCTCGCGGGCGCGGCGGCAGGCGCACGGCGGATAGGCGCCTTCGGGGCGAATTTCTTGCCGGTTTTATCTGTCAAACACACAGTTAGGGACCGTAAAGGTATGCTTCCAGCTCAGATAAAGCTCACTGATTGCAGAACTGGAGAAGGACTTCATGGCTGCCCATTGCTGTAAGGTGTGGATTGATGAAGATCGTAAAAAGTTCCAGGCCGGGGAAGTGGGCGAGGATCACGTGACGACACTAGCGGACGCTAAACCTCGTTGAAAATCCTCCTGTCTTCAACTCCTCGATCTCTGCCATCCCACCCCTTCTATCGTCTGCTCGCCCACCCTTCCTTTACTTCCACTTCTTTCGCTTTCTTTTAATCATTATTTCTTCTTCTACCGGACTCTCCTTCGACAGGATTGGACACAGTCGCGAGATCTGCGTCTGGCTGACTGACGGACGGTCCGGTGGTGATATTAGCCCTCCCATTCCAGTGTAGCCACTGATGCCGGCCGTCGAACCCCCCGTCCCGTCTTCAGAGCCCGGTCTTGTCAAGATGGAAGACCGGAAGAGGCCCGCTGCGGACAGCAATGACTCGGCTCCGCCGTTGAAGAAACAGGCTACTAGTGTTAACGGCGGCAGCAAGCCTCATCCCGATGCCGATATGCCATGGAAAGATGATCTGGAGGTGAGTTCGTGTTTTGGGTTTACTCCGCGATTTGGAGGTTTGCTTTTGGTCTCCTGCTGGATATATGCTAATCGGACCTTTCGCGATAGCGATTTCAAAAAGAAGCGATTTTGCGACAGATGCAAGAGTATAAGCGGGAGAAATCCTCATTGGAATCGCGTTTGAGCCAGATGTCAAAGGCTGCCACGTTTCACAACGATCATCTTCGTGTTATCGATTTATGGTTCAAACAGGTATGTTTCCATTCTTTTGTTTCGGTCGACCTGAGAAAAACCTGGGAGCAGTAACTAATCTCACAACAGTTAATTGATGAAGTGAAGTTGCTACTTGGATCATCGCAAGCAGAAGACCAAGGTCAGTACCTTGTTTTAGCCCCACATCACCCACTTTTTTCCCCCAATACTGACAATAATCCCAGAAAACCCCTTTAAAAGCTCCTTGCAATTCGAAGACGTCGAAGAGTTCGAGACGCATCTGAAATCGCGATCGGAGGATATTCGCGCAATAATTTCTCAAATTCAGTCTAAGTCTAACGATGCGCCTGCCGATCTATCAGAGGTACAGACTCGCCTTGCAAAGAAGTTGGCCGAGGAAAAAGTAACGATCGCGGAACTCGAAAAAGCACTAGCCGAAAAGCAACAGTTAGAGGAAAGCCTCGAGGAAGCCTCGTTGCGGTATCTGGTAGCCGAAAAGAAACTTGATCGCGCGAAGAGTTTGACTGTTGCAAAATTGGAAAAGCAGCAGTCTATGGGTATTCAACGACCTGGGGAAACGGCACAATCAAAGCGCGAAGAATCATCCCCCGCAAATGGAGGAACTCCCGCTGGAGACCGCAATCCCGAGTTGGAAGAAGCCAATAACAAGCTCACGGCAATTTCGGAGAAACAAAAGGAGCAAATCCGGAAACTGGAAGCCGAAAATGCCAGCCTACTGGGCCAAATTACCGAAATCAAAGTCAAGGTTGGACCCACCCTGTTGTTATATTGTCGTTTTGTCGCTCACATTGTGATCGCAGTCTTCAAAGTTTACCGACGACGATTACGCCCACACAGATTTGTTTAAACACCTTCGATCACAATACGACGATGTAGTTAAGCGAATCAACCATCTGGAAGCAACAAATGTTCAACTTCGTGAGGAAGCAGAGAAATACCGCTCAGAAAGAACCGCATACAAGATCCAGGTGGAGGACGAAACACAAAGTACGATTGCCGAGAAAGAAGCTCAGTTGATGAGGGCTGAAACGGACCTCGCCCGGATACGGAATGCCCGCGATGAACTTCTGGCCGACCAGCAGATGCGAAAGGCCGCGCAAGATCAGAAGAAGATTTCTAGTCTGAAACTGCAAGAACTGGCAGACGCTAGAGAGGCTCGAATCACAGCCTTAGAGTCCGAAAGTCAAAGGTTGCGACTGCAGATCGAGGGCTCCAAGTCTGACGACAACATCAACGATATGCCGCTGGAGGAGCTTCGCGCCAAGTACACCAGCCTGGAACGCCAGTACTCTATGCTCAACACCGAGTTAACATCGATGCAGACGGCATACACGAAGTTTGCTACTCTCGCATCGCAGAAAGTCACTGACTTTGGGGCCATGGAGGAGAAGGTCGCACGGCTGACTGCGGAGAAGTCTAAGGCAGATCAAAAGTTCTTTGCTGCAATGAAAAGCAAAGAGGCACGCGATGTCGAAGTCCGAACGCTCAGAATGCAAAGCTCCAAGACGTCAGATATTGTGTCCCAGCTGAAGGAGTCTGAAGCAACCACCCGGTCATTGGTGTCCAACATGGACAAGCAAGCCAGTGAGACCAAGGAGGCACTGAATGCAGCCCTGAGCAAGTACCGGGCCATTCAACAACAGTTGAACGAGAGCAACATCCTCACGGAAGGATTGAAACAACAGGTATCCGAACTTAAAGGACTTTCAATATCCAAAGACTCGACACTGGGAAGCACCACCTCTGCTTTGCGGCAAGCCGAAACAGAGGTCGCCGGCTTGAAACAGTCGCTTTCAGATACCAAGAAGAGTCTGGACAACTGGAAGAACAAGAGTCTTGGCAATTCGTCCTCAGAATATGAAATGCTGCGGGTATGTTAAATTCCCACTTTTGTTAACGAACCAAAGCTAACCCCGTTCAGACACTTGCACTTTGCACGGTGTGCCGTCGCAACTTCAAAAACACGGCGATCAAAACATGCGGCCATGTATTCTGCAAAGATTGTGTCGAAGAGCGTCTCACGTCCCGCTCTCGCAAATGCCCTAACTGCGGCAAATCCTTCGGAAGCAACGACCACATGCATATTACCCTCTGATTGACCTACAAATCTCCTGTATTATATCTTCCTTTCGATGCTTTCCTCTTTACGCCTATCTTTTTTTAGTGTGTCCTATCCGGACAGGTTCATGGTGTGGTGTTTTTTTGTGTGGTTTAGCAGGTGCAGGTCTGGTTTGGGCCGGCGTTTGATGAGTTATGCACGGTCAGCCCTAACTCGGGGCATCTTATGTTGTTTTTCTTCTTTCTTCTTTTCCTCTTTTCCCCATTACAAACCAAAACAATGGTGGGTTTCCTCAAGGCGCAGGGGCGTCGTTCGTCATTCTCTCTGGATGAGAGACCGGCGCACACTGATTTTCCTCAAGAGGCTGAGCTATTCTAGATTTCTGTGTCATGTAGGACTACCGTGTACGGAGCAAAAAAAAAGTACAAAGGAACATGATGAATGCAATGTGAGGATTTTCCATGCCCCTTATGACTTCAATGTCTCCCATCATAAAAAAATCTTGAATCTTGATATTGTCATATTCTCATGAGTTAAAGATCCGACTATACAACAATTCATGTCTGCCAACCCAAAGATCCAGCGCTGGCACAACCTGTCCAGCCTGCTCAACAGGCGTGTCCCACTCGCGCTCAATGCGCCTCATAATCGTATCCTGCAGCTCCTGGCTAGCCAACACATTCTGCGCTTGGTAAGGGCCCATGACACTCGCTCTAACAGCCGCACTAAGCACAGCCTTAGCATGATTCATAACAAAGACATACGCCGTCTGCTGCAAGTCCAGACCCATAGCCCGACAAACCACACCCCATAGCGGGGCAAAGTGGCCCTTGGGGCCGAGATCCTCGTCTTCCTCGAGACAAGACTTCAATGCATCGGAGAGATCATCAATAGCAGTGGCGGCGGCCTCAGCGTCCTCCGAAACCGGTTTCCCCGCGAAGCTGACTCTGAACGCGCGCTCCCAGACGCCGATGAGGGCACGTCCTTGGGCAATGCTTGCGCGCTGTGCGACGATGCACGGCGTTGATGCGTCCAGGTCGTTATCTAGTGTGTCGAGGGTTGAGGGGTGTCGATACCCGGCTAGCACGTAGGGGAGGGCTGTGCTTGCGATTGATGCGATGGAGAGTTTGAGGAAGCGGTGGAAGGAGCTTATTGCAACTGCGGTGGAGGATTTGTTGTGGGCTAGGTAGGACTCTAGTCCGCTGGAGTAGGCGAAGGAGCCTAGTGGGAGGGCGGAGTCTGAGAGGAGGAGGAGGGCGTGGAGGGATGTGTGGGTTGCGGAGGTGAGTTTGATATTATTTGTGTTATTATATGGCTCTATGTGGGGTTAGTTGAGAGGTATACGGTATTATTGGAGGTATATATTTGCCTACCTTTAACGGCCCATGAGGAGGGTGGACTTGGGTATTCGGAGGCTGCTAGTTGAGCGCGGGCATCTTGGAGGCGTGACTCGAGGAGGGTGACTTCAGCTTCGAGGTCTCGAGTGTCTTTGATCAGCATAGTGTAGTTAACAAATAAGTAGAGGTATAGTATATGTAATTTGTATAGAGTACAGATTTAATAGGTGAGAATTGAAGTATCTGAACTAGAGAGGAGCTTTGTCTTATAGAAAGAAGCTCGCCGATCGGCAAAAAAAAAGTGGGCAGGTCGGAGGCCGCCGCACACGTCCGAGAGCTCCCTATCAGCGTGACTGTTTCGCATTATCAAACTGTTTTGGGGCTTAGACACCTATCTTGCTGATCTTTTTTTTATCCTATTTTCCCCGCGTCATGATCTAGAGTCTTCTCCACAACCATGTCAGGCAAGCGTCTGCTAGACGCCCTCCAATTCCTCAATGTGTCCAAAACGGTGGCAGCCAAACACCTGGCCATTCGGCAACATCAACTAGATATCTACACGCGCACATCCTCCCTGACCAAGGGCATCAAAGCCCAAACAGAGGGGCTGATCCTGACCGCTCAAGCCGCCGCCGCATTGGCACGCCGATTTGACGAACCTTCGCAACCACCTTCGCCGAGCCCGGCAGACTTCCCCGAGTCGACGGCCGATAAGCCGCCCGCCAGCACTGCAACATCACCACCTCCCGACCTCGCCCACAAACTGCAGCGTCAGGCCGAATCGCAGATCCCGGCTTCCGCGGCAACATACAGCGGCAATGAGAAGTCGAGCGCTCTGGATGTGAACGAGCAGCAGGATGTCTTCTATGAGCCATCGCTCCGGTCGGAGCTGAATCTCTCGGGACTCCCGAGAGTGAAGGTACCCAAGGTCGCAGGCGATGCTCAAGTTGGTAGTGATGGATTGAATGCGGATGTCTTCCACTCGTCTGTTGAATCAAAAAAGCCTGCTCCGGTCGAGCAGGAGATGTCCGAGGAGATGATCCAGGGTCTTTTCCACAGCCCGAGAGTGTCGCGCATGATCTCCGGAAAGCCACCGCCGAAGAGGGACTGGAAGCTGGCCGCGAAGCCTCAGCAGCCGACCGTGAATGTTGCTAAGCCCATCTCCGCGGCTCCGAAATCTGAGACCAAGGAGATGGAGGAGCTTGCGGCCAGTGTCGCTGAAGACGTGGTGCCCAGTGCGGCCACCATCGGCGAGCCCAAGAAACAACAAGCATACCAAATGCTGGAGTCGCGTGTGCCGTCCTCTCGACTGGGCAGACTGTGGCAGTACGGTGGTCTGGCGACCTCGATGGCTTTTGGCGCTGTCGGGGAAGGTTTACGGCGGGCCACTGGCAGCCAGGACAATGGGTCGATTATGTTCAGTGCTGGTAACATGGAGCGAATGGTAGCTAAGCTATCAAAAATGCGCGGCGCAGCTCTCAAGCTGGGACAGATGCTGAGCATCCAAGGTGCGTTACATCATCTACCTCACTGGTAACCCTAACGCCCATGCTAATTTCTTTAGACTCCAACATGCTCCCCGAACAAATCCAGCAAGTCCTCCAACGCGTGCAAGACCGAGCAGACTACATGCCCGCCTGGCAGCGCGACAAGGTCCTTACTGACAACCTCGGACCCAACTGGCGTGACCTCTTCACCACCTTCAACGAGGTACCTATGGCAGCAGCCTCAATCGGCCAAGTGCACTCAGCCGTCTTGAAAAGCACCGGTCAACCTGTCGCCGTAAAAGTTCAATACCCAGGCGTCGCCGACTCAATCGACAGCGACCTAAACAACCTCTCAATTCTCCTAACAGCCTCTCGCCTCCTCCCCAAGGGCTTGTTCCTCGACAAAACAATCGCGAACGCGCGCACTGAGCTCGCCTGGGAATGCGACTACATCCGCGAAGCCGAAGGCGCCAACCGCTTCCGCGAGCTCCTAGCCGACGATCCGGTGTTCGTCGTCCCAGAGATAATCGCCCACGCCTCAGGCAAACAAGTCCTCACAATGGAAATGCTAGACGGCGTAGCCGTAACCAAAGTAACCGACTTCACACAAACCCAACGCGACTGGATCGGCACACAAATAATGCGCCTCTGCCTCCGCGAGATCGCCGAGTTCCACTACATGCAAACCGACCCGAACTGGACAAACTTCCTCTACAACGCGTCAACAAACAAACTCGAACTCCTAGACTTTGGCGCCTCCCGCGCCTACCCGGAAGAGTTCATAACAACCTACGTGCGCACTCTAATTGCCGCCTCCCGCAACGATCGCCAAACCTGCCACGACCTCTCCATCGAGCTGGGGTACCTGACAGGAATGGAATCGCAAGCGATGGTGGACGCGCACGTGAGCTCGATTACAACGATCGCGGAGCCGTTCATGCTTTCCTCGCCGGATTTGTACGACTTCAGTAACCAGACGATCACGGACCGCGTGCGCGAGTTCATTCCCGTTATGATTCGGGAACGGCTAGCACCGCCGCCTGAGGAGACGTACTCGCTGCATCGCAAGCTGAGTGGAGCTTTCTTGCTTTGTGCGAGACTTGGCAGCTCGGTGCCTTGTAAGGCGTTGTTTATTGAGGCTGTTGAGGCGGCGCGGCGAAATGGCTTGAAGGTGGAGTAGAGATTGTGGATGTGGCTATGTACTATAGACTGTAGACTGTATACTATATATCAAACGATTTTTGAAATCTTATAGGCTATCTAGAGGTTCTTACCTTGCAAAATAAAGCGAGTATTCTGTTCATGTCTTTCGCTCAAGATAGTAGAGCATAGATCGCAAAGCTTTCCGCCCTAAACTAGTGGAGTTGACTGGGAGCTATTATCGCCCAATGATAGGCTATTTCTGTGATCAAAATGCACTTGAGCCCCAAAATCTTCACTCAGGAGTTCCAACCTCTTGCTATCTTCAATATCACATTTCATTCGAACATGCCGTCGGATCTCACCGGAGACGACTATCTCAGTGACTATTCACATGTCAGCAAAGAGACGATAGATGTGCAACTTCTTCGGCTAGGCTTAGCCACGGCAGCTGTTGGATTTGTTCTAGTAAGTTTTCATCTCACAGAGTATATGAAAAAGAATGTATAGAATAGCGCATTGACTATATGAAGGCTGCATATGTGGATAGGAACGTCACTGCGACATTCATTGCAACCTCAACACCAAGGGAAGAACGGTGGATATTCTCCCTACAGAATTTCCGAGGCTTGCCAATCATTTTCCTTCATCGATTATTGAAGTGCCTTTTTCTTTCCTTATTCCCTGCATCTGGTTCCAGTGTCATGAAATGCTTTCTCCTAAGTGTGATATCAGACTTGTTACTTTCAACTCTCAAGGTATCCAACGTGCATACCGTTCTCAATTTACACGCGCAAGTGCCATTGCATCGACGCATCTTCAGTCAGTCGATATGGTTCGATATATTTCCGGCTACTTTATTATACAGCACAGCGTGGAACTCGTGCTTTTACCTTACCATCTACGCCATGCGTACATTGGGCTTTGTGGATCATGAATTCACTATAGTCTCAAGGAACATTGCACTCTACACTGCTTTTGCCACGTTTGGAATCCTTTACTTTGGGGCTATGGTCCCGGCGCATGCCATTTTTACCCGTGTCGCTGTTTCCCTGAACCCGTTGCAAGACAATCGCAGACAGACTAGGAATCTGGATATCAAAGGTGTCTGGGAGGGTTTGTCATGGCCTACTCTTGGTATGCTTCTTAGGCCGTTTCACATGGTCTTTATCTTTGAATTCCTGGCTGCATCCTGCATAATGTTGTGTTCTCTCATATACTTTCCTGAAGACAGGTACGATGAGGCGGGTCGGTTCTTTGTCAAATACGCTGGGTAGTCCGACGTTGTGCGTGGGGGATGAGCTGTCAATAGAAGACTGGACAAAACCAAAAAGATTTGACAGTGCAGATGGTTTGAAGAAGAATTGTAGATATTATATATGGCAGAAGTACAGCGGCCCTTCGGGGATCGCGAGATGACGAGGCATTGAGCCGCAGGCTGGTACGACGGTGACTGAAAATCCCAACACACAGAACAATGCCCGAGGGAGCAAAACGAGCAAGACAAGAGGTAAAGAGGTTGAGGGGCCTAATGCTTACAGCGAGACCACCAAGCTCGATCGTCACGATGATCATCTCCGCAGAATGCGGGCCTGTAGCGATATCCTAGGAACACGCATAGCGACTTAAGGTCAAATGCCTAATTTTGTAGGGTTGATGCCTAAATATGCTTAAAGCTTTTGCGCTTTTGACGCTCCATGTATTGTAAATGAAATTATAATTGAAGCTATTCCCACCATACAAATCCCCAGATTCATTGCATCCAATGCGTTGCCCGGCCGTGTTAATCCCGTTCAAAGCCATTCCTATAAAATTGTTAGGGCGGGCCTAACACCAGGCCAAAATACTGGTAATCCAAAGGTTTACCAAAACGACTACCCAAAGTCAACTGAATGCTTGGTATGCTAGGTTGCCAATTTATATACCCACTCACTCCACTCTCGGGTTCCATCCTTATTAGAACCCGTATTAGATCCTTATAGAGGGGTTGAAGTATTAGCGAATGAATACAACACATAAGAGATAAAGAATGAATGATTCAACAATAAAAGTCTATAATACAGAAGGAATAGGATTTTATGGAAGCTCGCTACCAACTGACTATGTTGGATGCTCTATATTCCGGTGGCACTTGCCGGCTTGTGTGAACAGCGAGGTTTAGCCGTATTTAGCTGTGGCAGTTTATTTTCCTGCCCGTTCTACAGCATGGAGGGATTATGACATCTCTTATATTGGGCGTTTTCGTATAGCCTATTATTTGAAAATACCTATGGAAGTGGTAGTAGGGGAAATAAAGAAACATGTAACTACTAGTAGAAGAATAGGACGATCTTTCAGTATCCAACACCTTACAGAGAGGTGTTATGGTCTGGTAACGTATTTTCCCCCATTACCCACGTCTTCGTTCCCGTGGCCTTTCCCCTCATTAGGCACCTGGCCTCGCATCTTAAAACTTCCTCCACGAGACATCTCTTATCTTCTAACCTACCATCCACTACCATGGGTGACCCTCTCTCGATCGCAGCTGGCATCGCCGGATTCCTCTCGCTTGGGATTCAGGTGACGCAAACCTTGATGGATTTCTATTCAGTCTACAAAAACCAAGACACTGATATCTCAAAGATCACCCAAAATATGGAGAGCCTTCAAAGCACTTTTCGCTCCCTAGAAATTGCAATCCAACAACGTCAAAGTCGGCCTAACGCAGAAGGGCTACTTCAAGAAGTCGACAAGGCTACACAGAGATGCCATGAAATAGTTAGAGAGCTCGAGGCTGAGTGCCAGAAACTTTATAATGAACCGGGTACCTGCTTGAAAGGTCGTCTTCAAGTCACTGGACGTCGCGTTACCTATCCGTTCCGAAAAAGTACAATTCAGAAAATCGAAGAGGATGTTAGCGACATCCGCGAAAACTTGTTATTTGCACTAAATGTGCTACAGTTTAAAAGCCACAATAGGATTGAGGATGAAATATCGACTGTCCAATCTCTTCTCGAGCGGATGAGCTCAAGCCAAATCTCTTTCGTTATCCGTGCGTGGCTTCAGGCACCCGATGCATCTGTCAATCATGACGCCGTCTATGCCAAACACCATCCAAAAACTGGACTTTGGCTTACCAACAGTCATCAATTTACGAACTGGCTGGTAGAACGAAGCTCTTTTCTCTGGCTTCATGGATTTACAGGATGTGGCAAGTCGGTCCTCTGTTCAGCTATAATACAACACATATCTCGTGGGATGAAGCATAGGACGGATATAGGAATCGCATTTTACTACTTCGCTTTTAGCGACGAGTCAAAGCAAGATGCTCACGGGATGTTACGCACGTTGTTGTTACAACTATCGGTGCAGTTCCAAGATGGCGAAAGGGAACTAGACCAGCTCCGTATACTGTCTAATTCGTCCACTCCCTCCAAGGAAGTACTACTTCAAACTCTTCGAAGATTTCTTCAACGATTCCAGGACAGCTATATCCTTCTTGATGCATTAGATGAGTGCCCACGAGAGAACGGGAGAGAAGATGTTTTAAGAGTGATACAAGAGATACGGGACTGGCGCTTACCTGGTGTTCATCTCTTAGTAACCAGTCGAGACCAACTTGACATCCGAAGATCACTAAATCCTTCCCATAAGTGTGATCTGTCAATGAAAAACTCGGGAATTAATAACGACATTTTTGATTTCGTCTCTTATCAGCTCGAAAATGACACCAAGCTCAAGAGGTGGAAAATGCGACATGGCGAGATTCTAAACAAGTTAACGCAAGATGCGCAAGGAGTGTAAGGATTATCTCATCCCGGTCCCATTCAGATACCCTAATAGGATTTATATAGGTTTCGATACGTGGAATGCCAGCTTAACTCTTTTCGAAGGGCTCGAAATCGAAATCAACTTGACGAATGTCTACGCACCTTACCTCGTGATCTAGATGAGACTTATGAACGCATACTTTGTGGCATCGATGAAACATATATTGAGGATGTACGGCGTATGCTTATCGTGCTCTCTTTATCTGTTCAACCTCTCACTATTAATGAGTTAATCGACGCTCATGCGGTAGAACTTGGTGAATCGCCGTATCTAGATCGGGAGGACAGATCCTACGAACAAGATGATCTCGTTGATACTTGTCTCGGTCTTATAGAGATTGTGGAAGTCAATGATAGTGATAGGGGAAAAATCTCAATCGCTCGCATCGCTCACTTCTCCGTCCAAGAGTACCTTCAATCGGATCGCATTCGTCAACAGAAAGCTGCAACATTTGCCATTGAAAGAGAATCTGCTAGCGCGGAAGTTGCACAAATCTGCCTAGTTTATCTATTAGACCCGAGGCTATCAGACGGCATTCTGAATGAGGTGAAGCTTCGAGAATTTCCACTTGCTCACTTCGCTGCCAAGCATTGGTATCACTATTATCAGGCATCCGAAGAGGGAAAGATAAAGGCTGAAGAGCTTTTGTTGAGGTTCTTCCAGAGGGAGGCAAATTCTTTCCTAACCTGGATTATGCTATACGAGGTTGACCGTCCATGGAACCGAGGGATCAGTTTTCAACAATTCCCTCATATGGGATCGCCTCTATACTATGCATCGTTTCTAGGACTAGAGGCCATTGCATGGAGTATCCTAGCGAGGTACGATGGGTCGTCTAGTCTGAATAGCTCAGTTCATGCCCATGGCGGATTCTATGGCAATGCACTTCAAGCAGCATCGAGCCAGGGTCACAAAGAGGTGGTCCAACTACTCCTAGATCAAGGTGCCGACGTGAACGCGCAGGGTGGATACTATGGCAATGCACTTCAAACAGCATCGAGCCAGGGTCACAAAGAGGTGGTCCAACTACTCCTAGATCAAGGTGCCGACGTGAACGCCTATGGCGGATTCTATGATAATATACTTCAAGCAGCATCGAGCCCGGGTCACAAAGAGGTGGTCCAACTACTCCTAGATCAAGATGTCGACGTGAACGCGCAGGGTGGATACTATGGTAATGCACTTCAAGCAGCGTCAATAGATGGCCACAAAGAGGTGGTCCAACTACTCCTAGATCAAGGTGCCGACGTGAACGCGCAGGGTGGAGAGTATGGCAATGCACTTCAGGCAGCGTTAATGGATGGCCACGAAGAGGTGGTCCAACTACTCCTTAATCAAGGTGCCGACGTCAACGCGCAGGGTGGAGAGTATAGCAATGCACTTCAGGCAGCGTCAAAGGGGGGTCACAAAGAGGTGGTCCAACTACTCCTAGATCAAGGTGCCGACGTGAACGCCCAGGGTGGATACTATGACAATGCACTTCAAGCAGCATCGAGCCAGGGTCACAAAGAGGTGGTTCAACTACTCCTAGGTCAAGGTGCCGACGTGAACGCGCAGGGTGGAGTGTATGGTAATGCACTTCAAACAGCGTCAATGAATGGCCACAAAGAGGTGGTCCAACTACTCCTAGATCAAGGTACCGACGTGAACGCGCAGGGTGGATACTATGGCAATGCACTTCAAGCAGCGTCAAATGGGGGCCACAAAGAGGTGGTCCAACTACTCCTAGATCAAGGTGCCGACGTGAATGCCCATGGCGGATTCTATGATAATATACTTCAAGCAGCATCGAGCCCGGGTCACAAAGAGGTGGTCCAACTACTCCTAGATCAAGATGTCGACGTGAACGCGCAGGGTGGATACTATGGTAATGCACTTCAAGCAGCGTCAAAAGGGGGCCATAAAGAGGTGGTCCAACTACTCCTAGATCAAGGTGCCGACGTGAACGCCCATAGCGGATTCTATGATAATGCACTTCAAGCAGCATCGAGCCAGGGTCATAAAGAGGTGGTTCAACTACTCCTAGATCAAAGTGCCGACGTGAACGCGCAGGGTGGATACTATGGCAATGCACTTCAGGCAGCGTTAATGAATGGCCACAAAGAGGTGGTCCAACTACTCCTAGATCAAGGTGCCGACGTGAACGCCCATAGTGGATTCTATGGCAATGCACTTCAAACAGCATCGAGCCAGGGTCACAAAGAGGTGGTCCAACTACTCCTAGATCAAGGTGCCGACGTGAACGCCTATGGCGGATTCTATGATAATGCACTTCAAGCAGCATCGAGCCCGGGTCACAAAGAGGTGGTCCAACTACTCCTAGATCAAGGTGCCGACGTGAACGCGCAGGGTGGATACTATGGCAATGCACTTCAGGCAGCGTCAATAGATGGCCACAAAGAGGTGGTCCAACTACTCCTAGATCAAGGTGCCGACGTGAACGCGCAGGGTGGAGAGTATGGCAATGCACTTCAGGCAGCGTTAATGGATGGCCACGAAGAGGTGGTCCAACTACTCCTTGATCAAGGTGCCGACGTCAACGCGCAGGGTGGAGAGTATAGCAATGCACTTCAGGCAGCGTCAAAGGGGGGTCACAAAGAGGTGGTCCAACTACTCCTAGATCAAGGTGCCGACGTGAACGCGCAGGGTGGATACTATGACAATGCACTTTAAGCAGCATCGAGCCAGGGTCACAAAGAGGTGGTTCAACTACTCCTAGGTCAAGGTGCCGACGTGAACGCGCAGGGTGGAGTGTATGGTAATGCACTTCAGGCAGCGTCAATAGATGGCCACAAAGAGGTGGTCCAACTACTCCTAGATCAAGGTGCCGACGTGAACGCCCAGGGTGGACACTATGGCAATGCACTCCAGGCAGCGTTAATGGATGGCCACAAAGAGGTGGTTCAACTACTCCTAGATCAAAGTGCCGACGTGAACGCGCAGGGTGGATACTATGACAATGCACTTCAAGCAGCATCGAGCCAGGGTCACAAAGAGGTGGTTCAACTACTCCTAGGTCAAGGTGCCGACGTGAACGCGCAGGGTGGAGTGTATGGTAATGCACTTCAGGCAGCGTCAATAGATGGCCACAAAGAGGTGGTCCAACTACTCCTAGATCAAGGTGCCGACGTGAACGCCCAGGGTGGACACTATGGCAATGCACTTCAGGCAGCGTCAAGGTGGCACCACAAAGAGGTGGTTCAACTACTCCTAGATCAAGGTGCCGACGTGAATGCGCAGGGTGGAGAGTATGGTGATGCATGCCAAGGTGCCAATGTGGGCACAGAATCACCTTAGAATCGATCTCTCAAAATGCAATAGAGAACTTTCTAACCCTCTCTCTGCCCACCGAATACCAGTGCGGTTTTGCTTCTTCATATACGAGGCCGGAAGCCCCTTTCCAGTCGGCAGACAGTCCATAGCACAAAGAAATATCTCACAGGGGACCTTCCAGGCAGCGTGCCTCAAATTGATTGGAAGAATCCTCCGTAGTCGGTTGAATCGAACGCGTGGGATTCAAGGGTTACTGTATCAAACTTGGCCGTTTCACTCGCTTAGGCATGGACTCTAGTCTAGGTGCCAAATTGCTGTTATGTAACTTTACAGAGTGTACGATGTAGGTATGTTTGGAAACACTGTGTCATAGAAAGAAGGGTATACAAATCATAATCCGGATTACCCCTATAGAGATCCTCTAATAATTGAAAATGCTCCGATCTGGCGAAACACCGAGCTGAGACAAATTACTCTCGGGGTTTTCCGGCAGGCTTTCCCATTTTGCTGAAATTTGTTCCACATTGGAATCCTGATGTTCCTGCCCATTGTGTTACTAGCTTCTTATCATTAGGGGGCCATGATCTTCGACTGAGTTGTAGACAACGATCCTGATGATTGACGAAGAGGTATCCGCACCGCAAAACTTGGCAAGTTCATGAGATTTGGCTTTCAATGTCTGGGATCCCCTTATGAATTTGACTGGCGAGTTCCTGTTAGGATACAAGTTCAAATATCATTTAATAAGAGAACTCAGACAAGAAAAGAGACAACGGAATTGTACAAGTTGGCGACGTTACAAATGTTGGTTACAGACGAAAAAGGTCTCATATTTATACCCGAAAGTTCCTAATTATTGGAACACCACACATTCTAATTTAAGGGAAGGTACTAATTTAGAAACACCACTCTGCTCGATAGACAGAGAGTGTGATAGTCATTCCTTTACTTTTAGCAAATTTAGCGTATTGAACTCTCTTCTACCATTAATTCTCCATTCCGTAGGCTAGCTGCTTTTTGATTGATTTCTTTAACTATCATACACAAGGCAGTACACGCAAACCAAGCCAACAACCGGAAGGAAAATACCAGTCATGCCTCCCGGCAAGACCCATGTAATGATCGATAATGCCTAATAGGCATTGCATATTAGGCCCCGAGGGGGTCCAAATCGTCATGCCATGCAGCTCGCACATACAATCAATCCTCCCCAAAGACAGTGTACCAGTAATCCCTCACCCCATCACAGATTCCCTGATACGCAACCCAACTCTCAAACTTATCCTCAAGCTCACAAGCTGTCCAAGTAATCTCCTCCCAAAATCCCTTCTCGACATCAACCTTGGTATTGAACCCGCGTACAACATCCACCGGAAGCGTCCAAGCCCGCGTGTAAGTACCCTCATCCGTAAACGCCGGGTTAACCTCATGCGGCTCGAAGATGGTGGCGGGGTTGAACTTGGGGAAGTTGGCGTGGATGAAGAAGACAGGTGGTGCAGAGGCGTCATCGCCTTTGACACGCCATATCCCACGACTGGTTAGGGCAAAGTCCTGCACGGGATCGAACTGCGCCATTGCAGAGCCGGCTATGCCGCCGTGGGTTCCGTGGCCAAGGGCACAAATAGACTCGCTGACTTGGTAGAAGGATTCGTGCACGGCGGTCGCGGCTGCGACGAAGGTTTCTTTATCACCTTCTCCAGCGGCGCCTTGTGAGAGGAGCGGGTAGTAGTGTGAGGGGCCGTGATAGTTGTAGTATGTTGTGAGTAAGAGGGAGCAGAGGTGAGATCTTTTGGAGAGGAGGACTTCGCCTGATTCTGTCGACTGACGCAGCTCCATTGGCGGGGGTGGGTAGTTTGCGATGTCATAGAAGAGTGGTGAAACGGAGGAGGCCCAGAAATCGGGCCATGTGACCATTCCGCTGGAGAGGAAGGGCTCGGCAGTGAAGAGACGCTCTGGTTTCTCGAGGGGGAAGGCATCTGCGTCTAAGAAGAGGATCTCTTCGAAGGACGAAAAGAGCATTGCGAAGGGCTTGAATTGATATTTCTGGATCCGGGCTGGGGCGGCGATGAGGATGTGGGATAGAACTACGCAGCGCGCGTTCAGTGAGGGTAGGACTTCATCGCATATGTAGGGTTCGTACTCGTCTTCGTCGGAGAGGAAGACTTCCATCGGGAGCGTGGAGCCGGTTCGGCGGAGCATGCGGAGGGATATCACTAGCACTGGGAGGTAGAAGCCACCTGCTGTTGAGACTATGCCTTTTGTACCGTGGATGTAAGGGAGCTCGGGCGGGGAGTCGATGATTGCATTGACGAACCCGGTATGCGCTTCTTTTATTGTGATGATGTCTTTCTCTGGAACGTAGAGGGTATCTGGGCGTGGTGGTGCATTACGAGGATCGAACCCTTCTGTCGATGCCTTCTCATATTTGATGATAGGCTCTGTGTTCGGCGCGTGGTTTTCTAACAGGGCATAGAATTCCCGCCAGAATTGTTTATGTGAGGGTGTCAGGCCTGTGACGGCCTGTGACGAGATGGGCTTGGTGATGTATATTTTGAATCCCAATATTGCCCAGGTGAGAAACATGACGAGTGTCAAGGCTGCCAACAGCATTCGTATGCGCAGAAATCGCGGGATCGGCGGGACCATCGTGAAGTGTCTCGGATGTAAGTCCGTTGACCCCACAGAAGCTTGATCGGACGCTAATATCGACGATCGCACCAATGACGTCGGAGAGGGCCAGGTACCCGTGCAAGTCATAGAAAGCTCACGAAAATGGAAGACTGACATTTCTAGAATGTAAGCTTGTAAGACTATCCCTAGGTTGCACAGTCTGCTTTAATATTGACAACAAACCTCTATCAAAGTGTCTCTAGATGTAGACATTTTGTTATAAGAGATCCTGAAAGAAATAAAAACTCGGTTGATAATCCATTGAACAATAACTATGTACTATATCTGTGTATCAACTTCAAATTTGATACGTGAAGGCCGGAAAGCCCTGTGCCGGTCGCCTAACCTCGTCTCTCAAAGCCTTCAGCTCTTTATCTTTCTCTGCACTTTCTGCTTTCAACTCCTCGTTCTTGTGGGTAAGGTATTCAATCCTCTTAAACGCCATTGAGATGGTGGTCAGCTTCCGGGCAAGCTTATGCGACAAATCGACCACAAACTCCCCTCCCTCTGTGATAAGTTCGTCCAGATGCTCGCCAACCAGCGTGGTGTACCGCAGTGCCACAAACTGAGATAGCAAATTTCTCGCATCGTCAGCAATATCGGTCGTCTGATAGATCAGTCGGATTGCATCCACTAAGTATGGGAATAGGACCTTGTCTGTTTGTTCCAGGGCAACAAGAACCTCGGCCAGACGGTTTAGAGAGAATTGCTCCAGCTTTTCAAAGTCGAGTTGACGTGCGAAGGAATAGACTTTGGCGTGGAGATAAATCTCAGCGGCGCTGTTTCCTTCGGCTTCTGGTTCTGGCTCTTCTTGATATTGCTCCTTCCTTTCATGGTCTAGAATCTTTGGTGCCAAGGTGTGCTCCGTAGTCAGAGTTACCCCATCGCAATATTCCAAAGGTGTCAGGGGTCGGTCATTTATGTCGCAGTCGGATAGGGTCTCGGATGGTGGTGAGTCCGGGGTTATGGGTGAATCGGGAACTGGTGGTGACCTTGCAGGTACAGCAAACATTGGAGGCGAGTTTGGCCATGAAGGGCTTTCGGGTGGTGGAGGGGACCTTGAGGGTGGGGATGGTGGCCATGAAGCATGCGAAGGTGACCTTGCAACCGGTGACGTTGGTGGTTCTGCATTGGCTGCGTATTAGTGTCTCACTCATCTCCATAATGAGATGGTATGATCTAAGAGGGGCGATTTCTTACCGGCTTCTTCATCCGCTTCTTCTGTCTCATCCACTACTTCTTCTTCCCCCTCTCCTTCGCCGTCTTGCGCTGGGGCCTCTTCCCCCACATCTGCCTGATTTTCCTCAACTGCCACAGAGGTCGCTTGAGGTGCCTGGTACCCTCCAGTGTAAAGGAAGCTCAATACGCAATCAATGGTTTGCTCATCAAAAGCGGACCAATCAATCGCATCCTCGTATTCGTTAGTTGACACCTTCAATCGGGCATCGAATGTGGGGTGAACTTCAAGCGTTCCACGGTGGACATAGTAAGCGCGCTCGTCACTGCCCACGCTGATCTTGACTGGCGGCTTTGCGAAGATCGACCTATTTGAGAGTCAGCAAGAATCAGAGAAGTGGTGAATACACCGCTATCTTGTGTGGATATACTTGGGAGTCCTGGAGTCGGACGACATGATGAAAAATAAAAACCAGGGAAAGTAGCAAGATGCTCAGATGTTCCTGGAAAAAAATCTAAGATCAGGATATAATGGTATGATGGTTTAAGTAGGGAATCCCAGAGAACATCTCGTAGCCCAGAAGTACTTGGCAAGTCCTTTTGGCTATGCAGTGAGACCCAATCTATTTTAAAAGTAGGGCGACCTCTAGCAGGAGTATATGTGGGCTCACTAGGCTGTCGCGTTCTGTACATATGTTAGACCGGCATATATATATCACAGCCCATGGCTTTTGCAGCTTTTATCAGTGCGGCCATGACTTTACTGATTACAAGGCATGTTAGTACTTACATAGGTAGCTATATGTACTTGATTTCCTCTGCCGGGTGGGGTTTTCCTATCTTAGCTGCCGGTTTTATGAGGGCGCTCAGAGCCAGGCTCACTGAGTAGATTTCAGTCCGCGCTCCGACTCAGTGAGCTGCTCAGATATATCCAACGTGACTCAACAGTGAGATCTAATGAACGCTCACTGAGCACTCAGTGAGTCTGATTGGATGCTCGCTGATTACTCAGAGACCGCTCAGAGTCCTCTAACTAATGAGCACTTAGTTAGTCTAATTCAGAGTATACCCAAACGACCTGGCCCAGGAGACCGATTTAGTCATTCTGTTGAAAGTAACGATGCTTTTCTACTGCCCAAAAGGCTTTGATGGTCGCTGTACTCGAGACTACTACCTAGCCCGAAAAGCTGCGGGCTCGAATACAGTGACCAAAACCCGCCCTTTTTGCGGGGCGTAGGCATGAGCGGCCTGAGTAAGCACCATCAATAACTAAAATGCAACACGCTAATTACGTCACGTGTATGTTTTTGCTTATCGGGAGTATACTATTAGGTCACCTGACATGTTCTGGTATAATACATGTAATCCAGCAAAATTTCGCTGGTAACCTTTCATAACCGTAATTCCGTCCACCACAACAACTCTCCATTTCTGTTCTTCCAAGGTCTTTTTTTCTTTCCTTGACAACCTCACCTTTCTGTTACTTGACAATGGAAGCTCGAAGTTCAAAGAGAAAGCGGGAGTTTTCCCCTGGTACAGTTGCGTCTAGTATCAGTCTTCCTATTGCTGTACCACCACTGCCGCTAGCCGAGACCGAACCAGGCGTCCCACATTCCAAAACTCCACCGTCATTGACCAGTGATAACGACTCCACCTCGAAGAGCTCTTGCCGTTCGCCACCAACTCCATCTCAAACTCGAAGTGACCAAAATACCTTCACAATGAGAGACGAGAGAGATATACTAGATCTGTACGCAACCGACTACCAACCTGTTTGGGCTGCAGGAATTGAATTCCCCGGTGTCATTCCAGAAGAGATATCACAGTATCTATATGAGGATGGCGAGCAGGTCTCCTTGTTCATCGGACCGTTGTCAAGCCTTTTTTGGCTTGAGGGGGTGGAAGAGCTCGAAGAGCTCATTCGCGATCCCGCATATGTTCTTACAGATGAGTACCGTTCGATCCCACAGGGTTCTCCGCGTCTTTGGATTGTTTCAATTTTGTTTGAAGAAGGGAAGATACCAGCAACATTCATGGACAAGATCTATGAAGAACCTGTCCGACGCCAGGCTTCCGCGCTTTCTTATGCCAGCTCTATTCCCCCAAATCTCACAACAACTCCTACTTAAAACAGGATTCAAGATGTCTTCCCCTCTGCGCGCCTCCAATCTTTTCCGCCAACTATTTCTTGCGTTAAGACAAAACTGAAGGGAAAGAAGAACAACCGTGATGAAAATTACGTTGATTTGATGAATACATTCATCAATTCACTTGGTGGCAATCTTCTTTACAAGGGCTTATCACGTCCGTCAATAGTCAGCCTAGCCTCACTCTTCGCGCCCCTCGTCTCTTCATACACGCTTCAGAACGAGTTCGGACCCGGTTTATACGCTACTTCCTCACTCAAGTATGCGTTGGACTATGCTGGCCCAGATGCGGTCATTTTGATTTTCAAGGATGTTGACTTCCGTCCGTTGGTTAAGATTGATTTGGCCGGCGAAGACTGGCGAACTACGGTAGACTATTGGACCGGGGCGACGATTTCAAATGTTTCTGAGCGTGTACCAGCACTCTGGGAGCGATCCGATATCTTGCAAGGCCAAATCTCCGTCAAAGATCTGAGGTCCAAACAGAGGGTTCCCGGACCAGATTCCCAGGTTGTGGGAGTCAGCTATGCAGGCTTGAATGCATTTGCATCTGCTTTGCACATGATCATTTGGCTAGACAGTTCGCGCTGAGAGAAGTTCGTTGCTTTATGTCATCTTGTTTTCAATTGTCTAGCCAGATCCGGGCTCTTATTCTTATCCAAGGAGCGGATCGTCTCTGTCGACCCGGCGTGGTTGTGGCTTTTGCTTCTGATATTATTTCCTCTATTGCTGTTGCGTGAAAGCCTATAGCTGGTGGAAAGATAATGGAAAGCCAAGAAGCGGCAGAGGAAATCAACTACATAGGTAAATCGCATCTACACCTTTGCATCGGAATATTATAATTGTTTAAGAACATAAGAATATTCAAACAATTCAAGGTCAGTAATGCAGCAATATGACTGGATCGGGTGCTTAGGGAAAATTAGGAACTAACTCTCTTTCCCGACTTATTCTCGTCTTCTTTACTTCTGTTCTCTATTACCCACGTTTAACATAAATTCCATGATACCAAGCCATCGAGCAAAGATAGCTTCATACCCCAAAGAACGCGAGGTAACTACACAGAATGTCGACGCAAAGACTACTTGAGGGTTATGGCATTCTCTGGGAGGTTACTGATAACCTTGGAAGGTAAGATAGTAAGTGAACAATACCTATATGAAGATCCTAGTTTGTTTTAAAAGGGTCCACATTCTATATAGTCCGGGCAGCCGACCGCTATGTTCAGGGCCTAGAGTGACTGAATTCTATACCATAGACACACATAGCCATAACATAGCTCCATTATCATTTTTCGGGGGCAGCCGTTCCTCTTCGAATATCTTTCCAACCCATTCCAAACGAAAAGACCACGATGAGCACACCAAGTGCAGCAGACATAATGAAGACATAACTAATACTTTTCGAATAAGCCACTAAGACACCGGAAAGGTCGCTACTAGATACCGCATTTTGAATGCCGGTAGCGCCCGCTGATATTATAGTCTGGAGGTCGACTTTTGGTGCGTACTTGGGTACAAATGACTTCAACCCCGAGTCAAACACCGCACTTGCTGCAGTGAGAAAAATTGCACCAGAAAATGTTTGAGTGAACATAAGAATCGACATAGCGATTGACACTTGAGTATGAGGGAGAGTATTTTGAACGGCAATGAGGGGCTTCGGCGCTATTCATCAATGATATTTCTCGTGTTTTGGGTGGAAGGGGAACGTACCGTTTGAAACGCAGCCCCTCGGCCTGCACCAGAGAGTATTTGATATCCAATCCATTTCCCGATGCTTGTGTCTGGATTTAAGGTTGACAAGAGTCCACTGCCGATAGAAGTGGAAATTCCACCAAAAATGGTCCACGGGAGATAGTATCCCATTTTCCCAACTAAGAAGTGTGTCAATAATCGGTCATATGTTCACAACAACCAATTGACTTACTCAAAATACCCGATGCTACTGCAACAAACAGTTGAGATAATATACCGGGGAGCGTTGAGACACCGCTCATCATTGGAGAGTTGTTTTTTATAGCTTGGAAATAGACGGGTAGATAGTAGGAGCTGCAGAGCGTGATGGCAAAAATGGCCATGATGACAATGCAACTAGTCCAAACCTGCATTTTTGCAACCATCCTCAGTGGTATCATCGCTTGATCTCCCTGGCGATGCTCCCAGAGCAGAAAGATGATAAACGTGGCGGCAGCGCCGCTGAACAGACCAATTACAGTCGCACTTCCCCATGAATTATTGTTTTTGCCGTATTCCAATGCGAGCAGAAACTGTAGAGCCGCAGGGGAGAAGAGAACGAACCCTATCAAATCAAGCTTATGAAGGATTGTATCGAGCGCCAATCGTACCGAAGGCTTGGCGACCTGGTCGGGGATTTTGATAAAACAAAGAAATATCGCGACCAGAGCACCTACCGGGAGGTTGATGTAAAAGCCTTCCAAGAACTTCAGTTAGTAATGAGCCCGACGCCGAGACTTTAAGTTACTTACACCATCTCCAGGTTAAATACTCTGTAAAAGCACCCCCGAGCAAAGGCCCGCCAATGGTACCAAGCTGAGATACTACATTCCATATTAGCGGACATACGGATCCTTGTGTATGAAGAGATACTGACAACCCATCATCACCCCAATAAGAGCTGTAGTGTGTTAGCAAGCACCTATCGCTCGGGAGCTATTAGCCACTCACGTGGAGATTTGTGCAGTGGAACACAAGACGATATGATGGTGAGAGCGCCGTTCATCAAGCCGGCAGACCCCATTCCAGCGACTGCGCGAGCGATAATAAACATCTTGGAAGAATTTGCGATGCCACACAGTAGAGAGCCGAGTTCAAAGACGAAGAAGAAACCCATGAAGACCCACTGTTATTATGGTGAGTTCTGATTGATCATGGAGTTGATTGGGTGCAGGGATTTTTGAGAGATATACCTTGGTGCTGAAGTTAAAAAAGACCCGACCTGCGAGAGGCTGCAAGCAAGCACTGAGATGTAAATTTATATGAGTTCTCTGGCCGATAAGCTAGTTTTTGAAAAGACTCACCTAGCCATTTGATACGAGCTGCCATACCATCCAATATCACCAAGAGAATGAAACTCTGAGGTCATCCTAGGGATTGCCTGCCGAGTGTGTCAAAAGAACTCAGGGAGGAAGGGCAAATGAGAGCTCACGGTTGAAATAATGGAGGTGTCCAACATAACCAAAAAGCAGACCAAGGTAACCCCAGAAAGCATGAACAGAAGCTTGAGACCGATGAGATATTCTCGTTCATCACTTTTCGCAGGAGAAGAATCCTTCTCCAAATTTTTCTTTGCACCATCTGTTGAACAACATAAATCTTTAGGGCCACCGTCTTCGGATGTAGGTTGAAAGTCCGGAGTGTATTTTGCGGTGGTGTATAGGGAGGTCTCGGCTGGGGTTAGGGCTGGATCTGCCATTTTAGCTTAATGATTGAGGACAACTAGATCAGTGATCTCGAAATTCGCGAGATGTTTTCTAGTAATATTTGTTTCGTTTCATCTTGGAAGATGCCCTACAGCCTTACTTTAATACTTTTGTTAATTGCGAATCCCGCCGTAGATGGCTTATTCAACTAAAAAGTAGGAACAAAGGAGTAATATTGTATAGAGTAGCCAATCACTACCATGCGTCGGACGCCAATCCCGCCGTCCTAATAGTAGTCCTATAGATCGGGGTCGGAATAATAAAGATCCGTGGTGAATCCCGCCGCTCCCTTTACCGTCATTTGGGCATTTGAGCGCCTCGATGATCAAACTCATCCGAAGATCTTGCGAAAATTCTCCCGGGATTTCTCTCGGAACACCTCTATCTCCGCAAATTTGAAGATAAGCCTTTTCATGAATGACGAAAAAGGCACGTTCAAGGTTCGAGAGTCCGCCTCGTACGGCCGAGCATGTGCCGGCTGCTATAAGGCCAAATGCAAATGCATATTGAGAGGACCAAGGCTCAACTGCGAGCGATGTCATCGCTTGAAGCAAGAATGTGAGCCATCTACTGTGGTGCGGAAACGACTTTCCCGGAAAACAGCATATAGGACGGCACATCTCGAAAATAGACTTGATGATCTTGTGGACCTATTAGAATCACAGGCTTCTGGGAGTTCTAGTTACCCGAATAGCGCACCATTGGTACGCTCAACATTTGCAACTCAGCCTGCTGAATATTGGACTGGCGAGAAAGGGTCCAGGAATAAGCCCCTTGCCCCTCGAGCCTGTCAGAATGCGTTACCAGCTCAGCGTACACCGCAGAACACGGACCCTCTCTCACAGATGGAACCTTCTACAGCTCAAGCAGAGCAATACTTGGCGACCTTTCAGCAGCAGCACCTCAATAACTTCCCCTTTTTCTGCATTTCTTCAACGACAACGTAAGTTGAAAATGAGAAGATTGTGGCTACTTGTTGTCTCACTGATGTCGTTTGAAAGACCCGTCCAACTGCAAAGGGAACGTCCGCTGTTGTGGCTTTCCATCTGGGCCAACGGTTGTAAATCCGTGGTACAGCAGCGCGCCATTGAGGTCAGAATTCGTGAAACTTTAGCGCAAAAGGTTTTGGTAGACCTGGAAAGAAACTTGGACCTTCTACTTGGATTAATCGCCTATCTCTCTTGGTAAGTCGATATTGTCTACATAATCCTTCGATCTAGAGGCTAATTGCTCAGGGCGTCCGATAAGTATAGTGGCAAATCTATTCTGGCCGTGTTTGCCAATATCGCCATGTCCCTTCTGTCCGACTTGAAACTTGACAGGTCCTTTCGAGAGTTTCCCTGCCGAGAATTAGATGCATGCAAAGCTTATTCTCATCCCATCAAGGAAAGGGTTCAGTTAAACCACCGCACGAATGAGGAGCGGCGAGCAGTGCTAGGATGCTACATTATTTGCGCCACGTAAGATATCCTCCGCAAGGGAATTGTCGCTATATATCTGTCTGGTTGCGGCTCCCAACTTACTTTACATAGGATTGCTTGGTTCTTGAATAATAGGCCTGTGCAATGGACGGTGCATATGGAGGGCTGCCTGCAAGACCTGGGTGAACACCCTGGAGTACCCGGGGACAGAGTACTTGTAGTACTCACCCAGCTGTTAAAATTGAAGAGCGACCTCCATGAGGTCTCAACTTGGCGACAAATTGAGGATCCTTGCCCGCAGACAAAGTCGCACCGGGCCCTTCATGTCAAATCTTTGCGAGGTGTTCTGGATAAGATCAAATCATCAGCTCCGCCAGAGGTTTTGGGGAATAGTAAGTGACTGTGATTCCCTGGGGTCCCATTTACGCTGACTCGAAAGAAATTGTTCTGTCATATGTGTATTTCACGGAGGCCTTGATCAACGAGCTACCTTTGTACCCGCTAGAAATGTCCGAACAGATGGGCTGCTTGGACTTTGGAAGGACGGAATGCTTCTTTGCATGCCTACAAGCTATTAAACACTGCATAGAAAACTTCGTCACCTTCGCTCCAGAGGCTGTTTATTCTCATACCATGATCCTACATCTACATTTTGGTCGGTGCACCCACATTCTCTACCGCCTGTCACTCATGGAAGACCCATCATGGAATCGTGGCGATATACCACATATTATCGACGTTCTGAGATCAATCGAGCGATGCGCATCTCTTTATGCGTCTGTACCGATGGCCATCGGGATGGACACGGATGGAAGTGACATGTACACCCAATCAGGAGAAATTTTGAGAGCTACGGAGGCTCTATGGCGGAGGAAGTTTGAAGAGGCTGGTTTAATTCCGCGCATTACGAAAGATCAACATTCGGACAACAATACTCTTGAAGCAGATGAGGGCGGTTTTGATCTACCAGCAGATGGCTGGTTTGCGGACATTTTTCAATGGGGCGACCCTTTCCATATCGACACGTAATGGACCTCACAAGTAAAAGGGACCTAGCTTGCCTCTACATTTTTTTTCCAGATTTCTTGGCATGCTGAAGTTCACCAAAGAATGTACGATCGGACTTAAGGCTTATCTCGTAGTTCGGTCTTTGGGGTCCGAACGATCAACTGCATTGAAGTCGACGCTTTTGTGTATTTGTGGAAATAGCGGGTCTGGGGTACTACCGAACCGGAATTAGGCCTTAAGTCCTATAGCCGGTGGAGCGCATCGGGCTCGTTTTGATACTTTGGTTATATTGTGCTGGCGGTCGACATAATGCAGGTCTCAATCAAGCAGCCTCAAGGGTCTCTTACTCCTTTCCTCTCTCATATTCTTCAAATTACACACAAACCACACAGTAACTATGCATGTCCTTCTTACTGGCGGCACAGGCAAGATTTCAATCCGCCTAGCCCGCTTCCTTCAAAATGAGAACATTCCCTTCCTGTTGGCCTCTCGTCGCGGTCACTCCGCAGCCCCCTCTGGCATGCCGGCTGTCAAATTTGACTGGCTGGACCAGTCCACCTGGAAGGAACCCTTCCAGTTCCGCTTCTCTAGTGGCGGAACCATCTCAGCCGTCTATCTCATAGAACCGCTAGTCGACGAGCCCTGGAAACCTATGAACGAGTTTATTGACTATGCACGCAAAGAACATGGGGTGGAGAGATTTGTGCTGGTGGGGGGTAGCACTACTGAGCCGTCGAAGCCGGGCATGGGGATGGTGTGGCAACACTTCCTGGACACTGGAGTCGACTACTGTGTGCTTCGACCCAGTTGGTTCATGGGTATGTACCTGCCTCGAAGTGGGTGTTGATGGTCTTTCGGTACACTAGCTAACCATGGAATTACCTCAACCCATAGAAAATCTCTCCGATGAAGCTCCTAGTATTGTCATCCGGGATCACAGCAAGATATTTTCGGCCTGTGGCGATGGGAAAATTCCCTTCGTGAGTGCTATTGACATCGCCGCGGTCGCATTCCGGGCCATCACCGACCCCAAATCACACAACTGCGACTACCGCGTGCTGGGACCGGAGCTACTAACCTACGACGAGGTGGCGGAGAAACTCTCCGCCGCGCTGGGGCGCTCTATCGAGCATGTTAAGCTGTCTGGGGACCAGCGGTATGAAGCCTTGGTCAGCTTTGGGGTCTCTGACTACTATGCTCGGCTCCTGGCGAGCCTGGAAACTGCGGCATCGACAGGAATTGAAACTCGCATGAACGATGACGTGGAGAAGGTGACGGGAAGGGCCCCCAGGACCCTGGATCTTTTTGCACACGAGAATGCAGAGGTGTGGAAGTCAGTCAGTGAATGAGGGACTCGGTAGCCGGGATGTTCCCCTACATGACTATTTATAATTCTCGCGATATTTACCCCCAAGCATTCAAGGTACAACTCATAAACTTGTATTAAGGAATTCAAAAGGCTATATATACAATACGAAACACATGGGAATCAACTTAGCTCGTGTAGATCGTGTAGTATGTGGAATTATTACAGATGGCACTATACTGCATGTATGTTTGGGATGAATATCTTGCAACGATATTGATATTATTGAAGTAGTACCAGCAGTGAATTACAAAGCTATATAATATCTTCCTTGGATTTGAACCCTCACTGGGAGGTATATATATCAATACCCTAGAAAGCAATTAGACAATTGTCTATTTTAAGCCCAGGATATCTACTTAATGGCGGCCTGCAGTGTGAGCAAGCCAGCGGAGAGGTACTCACATGGCATAAATTTTATGCTGAACCTGATACTCGTATCTTTCGAGGTTGTTGAACGGGGCCGGTATAGTCCTGGAGATTATCTGCTTGAACTTGTCTCTGATTGGCACCGCAAATCCGTCTGACATAGGCAGCGAGGATCCTTGAGATCGTTGGATGGCGATCGTATCAGCGCCAGTATAAATAACTGGGCCACTGCAGCATGTCGTGTGTTCCGATTTTTTAGTGTGCATAACCCGACGCAGAAGCTTCACGTCTAGGATCATCAGTATGATAGAAGACGTCCCAAAAGAACCAAGGAAAAAGACACTTGTGGCTACTGGCGAAGGGAATAAAGAGAAAGAAGAATCTAGAAGAAAGGGTATTTATACCCTACTTCCTAGCAAACAATCCGTTCAGTCTGTAAGCAAAAAAGGGGGATACGATCATCAACAAAGACCACCAAAAAGATCACTAAGAAACTACTTAAAGGCACTACTGTTTATGTTTATATCCGAAAACCCTGATATTTAAGAATATTTAAACAATTCAAGTAGTTGAGTAAGCCGTAATATGACTGGATCGGGTACTCGGGGGAATTGTGGAACTCTCTTCCCCAACTCCTTCTCTTCTCTACTTCTCTTCTCCATATAACCTGCGTTATCATAAAATCGGCTATGAGCCATCGGGTTGGCAAAAATAGCCCCGTCCCCCAAAGAAGGCGAGATGGCTGCACAGAATGTCGACGCAAAAAGGTCAAAGTAAAAACTTCCAAAGTTGCTTGCCAGCTGAACATTGCTAACAAAACGACCAGTGTGATCTAAAGAAACCTATCTGCTCGCGCTGCACCCGGTTTCCCAAGGAGTGCAAATATGATATCAATATCATCAACCAGAATGTAGTGATGCACACAAGGCCGGATGAAGCGAATTGTCGCAATGAGAGTCTCAACCAGAGCCTAAACCCTATCGCCCACCAGCCTGTTCTAAACCTTTCACCATTTCTATCATCAAAAGAATCTCAATTTTTCATGCACATCTTTAACACCGAAACCGCCCCGCGGCTGTTCCCCGCAGCCCCAGCGCTCTTCCTGCAAAGGATCATTGCAAGTTCCCTAGAGACACCCCATCTTCTATATGCCCTCCTCGCATCTGCCTGCAGTCACCACAGCCGACTTGTCCAAGACACAGGACCAAAGTCAAGGGTTTCCTGCTTGAGGTTTACGAATCTGTCAATTTCCAGCTTGCGCTCGGCGCTCAGTGAAAGAAGTGCAACACTGACAGCTGAGACTGTCACGACGGCCATGGCTCTGTGCACTAATGATGTGTGCAATGGAAATATGCAAACATGGAGGACTCATCTTGGCGGGGTAATGCGCCTTTTGGGTGCCTTTTTGGATAGTCAAGAAACACTACCCATTGCTGATCCATACATTCAATGCTTGGTCAAATGGTTCACAACAATGGATGTCCTCGCGGGATTATCAGGATTGAGTACTAGTCGTGTGATGAGCTTTAAGACTGGGCTGCTTGATTTGTCTTCTGATCTGCTGAACCCATATGTCGACGATATATGTGGATACTCCTTGCATTTGGCTCCCCTGCTCGTAAGGCTGTCCCAATTGGTGCAACGCCAGTACCACACTGAGCCTGAAATGCAGGAAGATGTTTTGGTAGAAGCTCGAAGACTTGAGATTCAGATTCTTTCCCTTGTTGAGTGCAGTGTTTCTGGCAGAGACTCCCTTGAGCTGCAGAGTACCCATCTTGCCTTTGTACACTCTGCTTTATTACACCTCCACCGGCGAGTCCAAAGACTCCCAATAAACCATTCGAAGGTGAAAGAGGACATAAAAAACACTATAACCGCAGTGGAATGCATCCCACCATTTTCTTCTGCGAATATATTGATCCTTTGGCCCATGTTCAGTGTTGGCTGTGAAACCGACGATACCGAGGAACGTGAATTTATCCACAACCGAATGGGCGACATGCAAAATCTTGGGATGGGAAATTTTACAAGAGCACGAGATCTGCTGAGCAAGTTTTGGGCATCAGAAACACGCTTGTCCTGGGACGTCTATTTTGCGAATCTTGGATTGGAATTGGTTTTATTTTAGGCGAGTGTCCTCAGCAAGCCAGCGGCAGGTTCTCATACTCATCATGAATGAACTGTCTCAGAGTGTTCAATCCATCAACTATCACCTGGTTATCCTGGACATAGCCCAGTCTCACATATCCGCGGAAGTCTACACCACTCCCGAAGCACTGGCTTCCAGGGACCAGCATAACCCCGGTCATTTCCTGAAGTCGCTGACAAAACACAACATCATCAATTGCCCTCCCTTCCCTATCAGCAAGTTTGATGAATGCAGTCGTTCCAGCCTTTGGCTTTGTCCACTTCATAGCCCAGCTGTGCTCTTCGATGAATGCCTCAAGGACATCGAGATTCTGTCGAGAAAGGCTAAAATTGCGCTGCAACAAGTTTTCCACGCATGGACGGGATAAAGCATGAGCTGCCACACTATCATCGATTTGGCCAACTGAGATGAGGGTATAATCACGGGCAGAGGCACAAGCTTCGAGAATCTCAGGATTCGGCGAAACGATCCAACCCAATCGGATCCCGGCCAAGCTGAAAGCTTTAGACATGGACCCTGTTGCAATGACATTCTCATACCCAAATTCAAGAATCGATGGGGGAATTTCTTGGTCGGAGTCCAGAGAATGGAACAAAGGTCGATAAACCTCATCAGAATGAATTAGGATACCGTGCTCACGCGCGATATCAACAATCCCTTGCAATTCCTCACGACGAAGAATCGCCCCAGTGGGATTCTGTGGGTTGCTATAGACTCTAGTCAATAAAAATCCAGTCAAGGGGCCAGCAAGAGCCATACATACTTCAAAATAATCATCCTCGTGTTCGGCCTAATCAAAGACTTCAGCCTCCCCAAATCCATCCCCCACTTATTCGCCTCATCCGACCGCCATAAAGTGACCTCCGCCCCAAAAGACTCGGGAACAGAGTATAATTGCTGATACGTCGGATATTGACAAATAACATGGTCCTCCGGTCCGATATGAGTATAAAGCGCTAAGAAATTAGCCTGGATGGCACCGTTTGTGACGAGGACTCGATCAGCAGAGACGGGGCTGGTCTCGGCAGACTCAGATCGCAAATACAAGTCCGCGATGTTAGTCCTCAGCGCCTCGGATCCCCGGATCGCGCCGTAGACTTGTTTTTGCGTGAAGTCTACGAGTTCCTTTTTCGGGGACAGGGCTAGTAGATCATTGAGGGAGATGGATGCACAGCATGTTTCAGCCAGGTTGTACTTTGCACTGGTTTCGTAGAGGTCCATCCACTTTTGGATGTTAGTTTCTGTGTAACTAGTAGGTTGATTGGGTATAATAAGGCTTGAGGGTTGCTTACTTGCTCCACGGCGAACGCATTGATTCGGACCATTTTGGGCTAGAAGTGATATTGCAAAGAAGGGAATTTGAGAAACGAAAGACGGATACAGAATTTTCAAGTCTGGATTATGGATTTTGAGGATATTATATACATCGTACCTTGGATTGTTGGAGACTAGATGTGGGCGATGTGATTGGCTAGATCGCATACATGGCCCAATCAGGCAATATGGGGGCCCTGGTCCACCGGACCGTGAAGTGGGTGCATTTGTGGAACATTTCTATCTCAAGTGGAATATAATGTCGCGCAGAGATTGGACAGGTCGCGTCCATTGCCTAGTGGGATTTTTGACACTGAGCGACAGGTTTGTGTCTAGCCCGCCAGTGATGGCAGGCTCGATTGCATCTTGTGATAATATAAACTAAACTTGGAAAGATATCTGTACATCAACCTGACTCGTGGCTGTTCTCTTCCTCCTCCAAGATCGTCGAGTAGGACGGGAAATTGCGATCCTCCATCTGCGCTTCTAGGTAGTCGAAGGATGGGTTCTGAGGTTCGAAATCTAGAAGCTCCTGCTTCACACGAGGCTGTCGTGACTCATTTGACTCTTCAATTTTTAGGAGCTGTGATATGGTGCTCCCGGTGAAATGTAGGATCATGCCTATAGTGGCTCCGACAAGCACAGCCCCGGTCATGAAGTAGATGAACCCCTGTCATGGCTTAGTAAATGCTCCCACCAAGGAGCTACGATATGAAGACATAAGATATCGTAGATGTCTATCTCATTACATACCTCTAGTATCACGAGGATGCGCAATGGAAGCAGTGCCAGGTATAAGACGACATGTCCGATGTAGATCAATGGCGATGCGAGGAAGAGAAGGGTTGTCAACAAGTAGGACAGTAATTGGATTGTAAAGCCAAGAACGAACGACAGAGGATATATCAGGATCGATATCCAGCCCATGATTATTATTATAAACGTATGTTGCAAATCAATCTATGCATCTTGACTCTGTTATGATATCCAAGTAACACGCGCTGCAGTCCAACTGCCAAGCCCTAAGCCCTATATTACCGGATTAGGCTTCCGGCGTCATCGGCGTCTGCATGTACTTTGACAAAGTAAGTACATCAATCGACTTTGTTTACTGCCCAACACCAATCCTTACTTTGAGCTGGCATCGGAAGTGTCTTTCTTCGGCCTGCCATTGTGACTTAGTTTGACCCTCTTCTCTCCTCGACTCCCAGCAAAAAGCTCGGCCCAAAGTCACCACATCTTTCCCCGCCTTCGATGGGCAACAACCCTTCCAAAGGCCCGGTGGGCGACGTGCCGCCGGCCCATGCTCACCACAGCTCTGCAGGCGAGCGTAAAGTCGCCCGTCGATCCTCCCTCAATGCGATCTCTGCCCCCAAGGCCACCGCGGCCGATCCTTCAGCTACAAAGGAGACAGCCGCCGGGCACTCGGCAGGATATCAAGGTTCCGTGCAAGAGCGCCTACAATCCCGAAATGTTCCCGAATCTTCACCCAAGAACATAGAGAAGCCTCCGCCACAGGATGCACGCCGAGTCGAGCCATCCCCGATCAAGGACATCCCAATCCGCGACACCTCAAACCCGGTTCAGGTCCCGATCTCGCGCCATGCCCCTGAGCGCGATCCTGTGGCACCATCTGCCCCACCCCTCAACTCTTACTATAGCGCATCGGCTCACCTACAACGCCCACCGCGCTTGCCATTGCCAATTGGTGATGCCAACACCACGCCCGGATCGCCTGTCGCCGGCCCTGAGGACTCGCATATCCAGTCGCTCCCCGCGAATGGCCTCTTGGATGAACAGATGGATCCGAATACTGCGGCTTCAGGTCATACAACCATTGATGAGGAGGAGTTGCTTGATGAGCTCCAGCCATTCACCATCAGTGGCGCCGGCAAGGCTGTTCCGGTCGTTATCGAATGGACAGCGCCTGCGCAGAAGGTCTACGTTACTGGAACTTTTGTTAACTGGGAGAAGAAGTTCCGTCTGCACAAAAGGTTGGTTAAATGGCTGATTTAATGGCTGATTTGGGATTCACGAAACTCGACTAACATTCGATAGTGAAAATAATCCGTCCGTTATGTCCACTACTCTGAACCTTCGACCGGGCACGCACCACTTGAAGTTCATTGTCGATGGAGAAATGCGTGCTGCGGATAATCTTCCAACCGCCGTCGACTTCACTAATCACCTGGTCAACTACATTGAAATCAGTGCGGATGATGCTCATGACAAGGACTCGACCGTTCAGTCAGGAGCTCAAACCCCAAACGCGGTGTTGGATTCCTCTAAACAGGATCACTCAAGGGATACCGAGGACCACCATCTAGAAAAGGAAGAAAACGAGGAAGAGGTGCCACCCGGTGATTTCGGTGACGCCATTCCACAATTCCTTGCCGATCTAGATAAGGAAGAAGAGAGCCCAGCCTATGTCCAGGCTGCCAATATCATTGGAGATACGGCTACCCCTCCCAGTCTGCCTCTCTTTTTAGGAAAGTCAATTCTCAATGGCACAACTCCCATGAAAGACGATAGCAGTGTTTTGAACTACCCGAACCACACGGTCCTGAACCACCTTGCCACGAGCAGTATCAAGAACGGTGTCCTGGCTACAAGTGTGACAACCAGGTATAAAAGAAAAGTACGTCATGGCTTTATACACTTTTCGTGGATTAACTAATCTTTCTGCAGTATGTTACGACTATTTTGTACAAACCGACCGGCGATATCACAGAATGAGCTATGTCCAGGCATATAGGTCGTTTTCAATTGCATGCATACATTTTTTTACCGAATACTACCTTGGACATGTTGTGGTTTGTCCCATTTGCAGAGATAAAGGGATTTACAAGCAATTTCCTGCCTTGTTCGACTCATTGACCCTCGCCAGTCTGGTTCCTGTCTGTCCAGATGTTCCCAGGTTCCTCGTCCATAGTGGCAACTAGATCCTACTACAAGATCACCCAGTCATTGACTACAACCAACACACATGAATGTGCGTTGAACAATTTGTCTCAGTGAGGAGATCACCACATATTGCATATTTCTCAGGCGTCACTTTTATGTTGGGTATTGGGAAAGGATTGGGAATTTTATCGTGCGCACTTCATACAGCTGTACAGGCGCTTGGATTTATGCAAGAATATTACAAATTTCTCGAAAGTCCACTTGAGATGAGTGATGAATGTTGAATAACTTTTTCCAAATTCATCTAACCGAATGCAAAGGATATCGGATTTGACTCGCTCAATTCATAACACATGATAGATATATTTTTGGTTCAGACAAGACATCGATTGATATCAGTCCCGCCA